CCAAACTGAAAAAATACAGCTAAAATGACATTTTAATTTGTTTTTACAACCCATTTTGGCGCCCCCTAAGGTCGGCGCCCGGGGACATATGTCCCCCCCTGCCCCCCTATGGCTACGCCTCTGTAATGTAGGATGCCCTGTATGCCATATACTCAGAAACGAATGAATATATTACATAAAAGATGTAATTTATTTGAAATTAACCCCTTTCCCCCCCCCCCTCCACACACACAAAACGTCAGACACCACCCACCCCCAACCCCTCCCCTCTCCTCCCTAAAAAAAACATCACAATTTAGCCTTACGGGAGTATGTTGTCATTTATGGACGGCGCATAAGGCCTATAGAAAGTGTGTTCCTATATTGTGAACCTTTAACTAATTTGTAATGACGAAGAGACACGAGTGACACCAGCTGTTGCGGGTTTTTTTTTAAATAACTTTCTACTGTTATTATTATTGTGTTGTGTTGTTTAAAACAAATGAATAGCGGGCGCTTTTCCTAAAATGATTTTCTGAAAAGTTGGGCTTTTTTCTAAAAACGCAGGCTTGATAATACAAAAAATAAACTCAGGTAAGCTACGATGTTAAGTAATAAATAATAAAGTGATGCTTAATTTAGGTCTGTAAGCTCTGATGGTCAATGAAGGCGTCTAGAAAATAATAGTCCGTGGTTTCCTGAAGATTGAAAGTTGGTTGGCGATTTTTGGAACCTCAATGATATTTATGTGGATTTTAAACTCAACATATCGACATGCCACGACAACACATTTTAATATATTGATCCAGGCCTATAATAGGCTACTGTTTTGTGGGATAGAAGTTCAAGTTGTTTAATCATCATCATCCAATGTGTGCCCAAGACACATACATAGGGCTACCACAGAATACTCTTTCCACTTTTACCGGTCTCTGACAATTTTCTTGGCCGTCTCCCAAGATAGTCCTGTCTTTGTCAGTCACTTTTTCTGCTTTACAAGCTGTGTTTCTTTTAGACTTTTTTTTCTGCGAGGGGGGGGGGGGAGGGGGGCTCTTTAAACTTTAGGGGAGGAGGGCTACATTTTCCGGGGTAGGGGTGGTAGACTTGCTTCGGTGAGGGGCTTGACCAATTCCCTTCCCCCGAAGAGATGCCTGCGTGAAAAAAATGTGTGCAAGTTATTTAATGGAGCTACACACATTCTGATGATGTAGGTCTATATCCAATGTCGTTACCTTGGTTGTAGTGCCTATTTGACTTATTATATGTCTTCAACATCTAGACAGTGAACAGCAAGAACGAAAAGGAACCGAGATGAGAACCATCTTTTTAATACCATAACCTACTTCGTTTGTTTGGGTTTTTTAAATAAAATTATATGAACAATATCTTCTCATACGTAGAGTTTTAAAATCGGCTGCATAAGATTTTTTGCTGCAACCTCTCGACTTAAGTCATCGAAAGGATGTGTATGTTGTCAGGGCGATATGAAGTTCCCTCTGTTTAAATGTTGCTCCTTTCCTGGTTATCGTAGTTCCTAGCATTGTGGGGATGTATGCCTATTATAGCGCTTTTTTTTTACGCGAGGACCTCTTATCCGGCCCGGCGAGATCTTTTTGTCCATGGAAATTTTTTTTGTTGGAGATGGCTGAGGAACTTTGCCCAGAAAAATCAAAACAATTTGAAAATGTAGCTTTGGGTGCTAATACCATTACCTGCCGTGTTGCAGACTTTGGTGAAAACATTGTGACTCAAATAGCGAAAAATGCAAGCAAGTTTCGTCATTTTCAACTGCAATGGATGAGTCGCTGGACAGCTGTTCTACCTCTCAACTACTTGCGTTCATTAGAGGTGTGGATGAAGACATGAACATAACACAAGAGCTGGCTTCCTTACATGACATGGTTGGCAATGTTACTGGAGAGAATATATTCAATGAGTTAAAAAAAAAACATTTGCTTATTTTAACTTGGACTGGACTAACCTCTGTTACCTTACTGTTGATAGAGAAAAGTACAAGAGAAAGGCTTGGTTGGACAAGCGAATGAGAAAAACATTCTACAACCAATGTTCCTGCGCTGTATTATTCACCAGCAAACTTTGTGTGCTAAATATGTGGACATTAGCAGTGTACTGAATCCTGTGGTGAAGATGGTGAATTTAATAAGGTCACATGGGCCCAACCATAGATAGTTCAGAGACATGTCGAAAGAAACAAACACAGAATCGCAAGATTTACCATATTACACAGCAGTAAGATGGCTAAGTTGTAAGAAAGTTCTGAGTAGAGAATTTAAGAAAGGAAATAGATTACTTCCTTGAAAGTAAAGGCAAGCCACAACCATTAGTCTGATGAATAGTGGGTATAGAAATTGGCCTCTGCTGCAGACATAACTAGTCATTTTAATTTTCTGAACCTAAAACTACAAGAGAGGGGAATCTAGTTTCTAATCTATACACCCACCTTAAGGTCTTCAGATCCAAACTTGTCATGTTTTTGGAGCACGTACATGCCAACAGCTTGACACACTTTCAGCAGTGCCAGGTCTTCATGGCTGAAGCAACAGCTGAGTTCTCCACGTCATTTCATGCGAGATCATCAAAGACCTCCAGCTGCAGTTTCATCAGTGGTTTTCTGACTTTGATTCAAAGACAGAAGAAGTGAGACTGTTTCAAAACCCATTGAAGCAAACGTGGACCTCGAGTGTGTTGTTGGCCCTAGGACAGTGTTTCTTTCAGATTTTTTTCTCCGGGGGGGGAGCACTTGAAATTTGTATATATTTCTATATAAATTATATTTCGTGGGGGGGGGGGGTGTCTCTGCCACCCCAAAGAGATGCCAGGAAGAAACTGGCCCCCGAACTGAAATATGATTGTTAATGCGGCCCTTGGGCTGAAAAGTTTGGAGACCCCTGTTTTACACTATTAATAAAAATAGAATCGAATTAACAGTATGAGAATCATATGGGCAAGCACGAATATTGATAACGAAGTCGCAATTCGTTTTTTTTTTTCAAAAATTGTAATTTTGATACCCAAAATAAGTGTCTATTTTAGGGCTGACGAGATTTTCTACTCATGTATGCAGGCCTATAGTGGGTGATGTAGATTCAAGTTAGCGTATCACTATCAGCAGATACAAAAATGTGTTTTTTTTTTTTATGAAAGCTATTTTAGCTGATTAGGTTAGTCGATTTGGTGAGAAATAGGCCTAGATCTATTTCGTATGGCTTGACGCAAGGCCCGGATCAAATTTCTTGGCTCTGCGTGTATTTGAAGTGTGTAATTTTTTCTAAACCGCTAGGCCTAGTCAAAAATAATATTTGCACTCAGTCTGGCGTCATCAGATGTACTAGGCTACAATTTTTTTTTATTTTCCGTTTAGCTTCACTCCACTTCTCTAAGTGGAGTGGATGGGCGGGTAGGTACATGGTTGCTAACCCGAAAACTCCGAAATCAAAGAAGAGCCCCTTAATATGCGAAAGAATTACAACATTACTACTATTACTAACTGGGGTTTCCTTTCGGCAGTTCTTGCGACACTGCTGATTCCAAACTGTACAGGTAACGTCCTGTCCATTGGGTTATCAGCTGTCCCCCCCCCCCCCCCCCCAAGAGATGCCTGGAAGAAACTCTGCTCATGAAATAGTTATATTTCAGGGGAAGTAATTAATACGTCAGTTGTGTAAAGTAGCTCAAAAGTAGCGTCCCCTCGCTAGCACTATAAGAGTATCCGCTCAAATGCACTAAGTGGAATTTTGAAAATTAAAGCCTTGCCACAATATCTCTGTAGGCTATATATATATATCTCATGGTCACATAGACAGGTGAATTCTACTAGCCACTACCCTAGAATTAGAAAGGTTAACCTTATTTCTTTTTAAATTACCCTACCAATTTAATTTTATTGTATGAACTTTGTAGGCCGAAAATAGGTTGACTCTAACTACTTGAAATATAATAATATATCATACTCTTAGTTAAAAGTAGACTACAATGACTCAAGGCTGCTTTCTTTTTCAGTAGGAATCTATACTTTTTACCATTCTACACCAATATCATTGCAAATGACATGAAATAGTAATGGAGAGTAATCAAGCTATAGACCACGATTTACATGAAACCAACCTGCTACATGTTTTAAAAGAATTGGCAGAACATGCCGAAGAAATCAAACAAAACAATGAGAGCTTCATAAGTACCATCCTCCAGCTACAGGAGGAATGTGAGGGCTTGAGGCAGAAGCTGGAGCAAGAGAAAAACAAGGCACAGTCCCAGAATGTAACGCACACTAATCTTATAAACAGTCTGAAAAACAAAATAAAATCACTCAAGCAACAGCTGAAATCAGTAGGTTACGATTTTGTCAAATTTCTGTTTTTTTTAGCTATGCTTAGTTTTTCAAAAGTTAAGGAGGTTAAAGTAGATCTCGCATTAATTTATTTATTGTATTTGTAATTTATGATTAACAAAAACATAAAGGTAAAATTTTTGGTTTTATCTATTATCAAATTTGGAATTAAAAAATGCATCAAACCACTTTTTACAAAAATAATGTATATATTTTAATGATAAATTGCAGTACTTCTTTTTGGACAAAAAATTAACATTATAGTATTATTATGTAATTGTTTTGAGTTTCATTACTTGCTCAAGTCCATAAAAGAGAAAATGTACAGGTGGTTGGTAGGTAGTGTTGACCACACTATCTTTCAAATGTAGGAATAACAAAAACAAATCATTAGGTCCAAAATGAAACAATAATTGGCATATATCTGAGTAAGTATTAAATTTATTTTTAGGCCGAGGAAGTAAGCAGAGTTGCACTCGAGGAGAATAACAGATACAAGTTCCTTTTGGACAACCAAGGTAGCAATGATGGTTGTGTGATACAAAAGTGCGGGAGGTTTGAAATAAAGAAAAGGCTTCTGGAATGCACTCGCTGCCATGAGACCTTCAACTCCCCTTCAGAAATGGATAAGTCTGTTTGCTGCTATCACCCCAAAACACCAGTCAAATCTGGTATGTCATTGTTTTGCTTTCATTTTGTACATTATTAATTTTGGACGGACAAAGACTTCAAGTCAAGCACATGTATTTATTTTCAGATTTTTTAAAAATTAGGTCAAAGTTGAAAATGTATAAATATTCTACTGTATGTATAGAAATATACCAATTTATATTGAATGTTGAAAATGTTAAGCTAAATTTCACGTTTCTTATTTTAAAATTCAATAGTATTTTATTTTTAAAAATTACTAGAATTACATAAACAAATCTGCCAAAGCCACATTGTTTTAGTTTACATCAGACTGCAGAGAATTACTCGTTTTGTTTGGAAAGTGCTTTTTTATAGGGTAGTTATTTATTTCTGTTTCAGTCTCGGAAGATGGGAAAAGTTTTTTCTGGAGGTGCTGCTCCTGTACTACCACACACAACAGGATACCACCTGGCTGCCAGCAAGGGAAACATACCATCTCTAGCAAGCGTTCCAGAATGGAGGAATGATCAGCTGTTATCACAGATTGGAAATAATTCATAACACCAAAATGAAATGAATAACCAATGTCAAATTTTCTACTACTACAACACATCAAAACTTTGTGAAGAAAAATGTGTGCAATTTTGAAAGTTTTCATTTTAATTTATTTTAAATTAAAAGTGAAGATCAAAATATACTTAAAAATGCCAATTTGAAAAATATTGTTCAAAACACGGTTATTGCAATACACAATGATTCATGCCAGTTTCTCAACCTGTTTAAGTTGCAGCCCCTATTGTATAGCAATTTGCTAGCTGACCAGCTACCATAGCATATAGGTAATTATAAGGGCATTTTAAGAGCAACAAAAACTCAGCCCACATTTTATAATATGCAGTGACAATTTCAGCATATTTAAAGGGCATTTTTAAGAGTAAAGGAAATTCTGTAAACAGATTTTTTTACTAGTATTAATTGTATGTAGTATGAGTGTAAACCTTTTAATTTGTTTGTCCCTTTTTTTTTGCATTTAATCAAAATCAGTTCTTGTCAGTTCTGTGTTTTTAAGTGACTAATTAGTTTACTCACCGAGTGTGTAATTGTAATTAGTTTTTTAAAATCTTGATGTACATATCCAAAAGTTAGAATTAAGATTTTATATAAAAGATATGTAAAATAGTCTACCATTTTTTTTAATAAACTTGTTCATTAAAAGAATTTTAATTGCAATATTTTGCATGTACTTTTCTTTAAGCTCTTATGTCGCTCTTTCTAGTGGTGTGTAATTCAAAAATGTTAAAAATACAAAGTACAAGATTTTTAAAATTTACTTATGTTAAAGTCTCTTCTCAACCACTCAACAGTTCTAAAGATGTTAACCGTAACAATGGTTTTGTATCCATAATAGTAAGACACAAGAGACTAAATAAGCTACAAAATCAAACTAAGCAGTGAAAACATAAAAACCATAATCAAATTTTAAAAAATAAAGATGTGTAAACAACAATAACAAACATTAACAACACTGTGCTACTGACATTTTGAATCTTTTTAAATTAAACACATTTTTTTCACCTTGGGTATCACTTGTTTATTATTTATTACCTTTTAGTTTTATGTAAGTAATAAATCTAAATGTGCCATATTTATCAGTCCTTTATGAACAACAACTGAAAGAAATTTTGACAGACAGGTTTTCAAGTATATTTGATGCTATAAAGGTTTTATTGATTTCACAATCATTAACATTAAAATACAACATTACATCATCTTCAACAGATTTTCAACATATACCAGCTTTACCACTATTATACCGGTATTCATGTTTCTACCACACATTGCTGTGTGTAAAAGGAATTCACTAAAAAAAGAAAAATGTATTCTGCCTTTCTTACAACTATATAATGAACTTAATAAAACTAATACTCTTTGTCCTATTTACTTGTAAATAAAATTTTTAAAAATGTCAGCCAGGACAAATGAACATTGGTTGTTAAATTTAGAACTAGTGAATCTAAAAAAAAGGTATGCTATTTTAAAATCTGAAAAACAAATTATTTAAAGGATACGTATTGCAAGATAATCATAACTTTAAATAAATCATTTTCGGCTGGGATTTTACACTTTATAAAATATTTTGTATCCTTTAACTTGTGAAACATAATTTGCAAAGATAACATTCATGCTTTCTTAGAGATTTTTCCAAATTTCTGCTTCAATTTCTTTAAATCAACCTTGGAATCAGTCTCCACCTTGGCCTTTTTCTTTGCTGGTTCAGTGGATTCTTCTGGTGCAATAAAGGATTTATCTCGCTTCTGTTGCCTGTCTTGCTTTGATTGTTTCTGTTTCTGCTTTTTCAATTCTGCCTTACGTTGTCTTCTTTCATTCTCTTTAAGGAAGTACTCCCCAGACGCAAGCTCTTTATCAATTTTAGATTCAGGCTGAGGGGGTGGGAATGGAGTATACTCCTTCTTCTTTCTTTTCTTCAATGGCTGCTTACGTTTACTTATATTTTTACTCTTGTACTGAGGTAAATACGGTTCCCAGTTTATATTCCGCATTTCAGGATTTTTGGCAAGGTCATGCTTTTCCATAATAGTACGAATAACAAAAAAAGGGTGTATATTTTTCATACAGTCTTCAACTATTTTCCGTACTTCCTTAAGACCCTTATGTGGCCCTAAGGCAGCAACTGTGTTACCCTGAACTGCAACATAGCAATCAGTCAGGCATTCAATTGCTTTAAGGGTTGTACCTCCTGGGCCAATAAGCCGTTTGCGCCGTTTAATAAATCTTTCTTTTTTAGCCACCATGGAGCCTATTTTTATTATATCACAAGCAACATCATCATCTAGAATCCTTTTAGCCTGCTCTAGATCAACACTACGAGCTAGCAATGTAATTAGGTCCCTGGCTTTGATAATAATGTATGGATCGTAAGTTTTTCTCGTTGTTTTTACACTAAGACTGCCTTTAATGAGGTCCATCTCTGGTTCAACGCCATGTTCATTGAGCACTTCTTTCACCAATGGCCAAACTTTTGACAAGTAGCTTTCACGATATTTTGGAAACAGGACAGAAAAGGAACTCTCTGCAATAAAAACATAATTATTTATTAAACAGTTGATAAAATATATCTGTAACATACATATTGGGTTTTCTAATTAAAATTAATATTTAAGTAATAAGAAACAGACATTGTATACATATTATCAAACACCAGACCTATGTAAAAAATGAATTAAAGATTTTGTTCCAATCAGTTATTTCATGCTGCTATGTTCTGATCGAATATACATTCTTCCATATAGTATCATCTTAAAATTTTGAGAAGTAATATTCAATTTCCCCCCCCCCCTCCCAATTTACTAATTCTCAAACCAAAAATATGAATAATAACCATTGAGATAGAAGCTGCATTATAACTTTTAGAATAGCCTATAACTGTTATTTAAAATTGCTTTTTTTATTCCCCAAGCAAGCAGCCAGCATCAAACACATTACTCAGGGTCTCAGTGAAATCATAGGGGGGGGGGGGGGGGGGGGGGGGGGGTTTAAGTCTGATCTTGACTGGCCTTTGGAAAAGACTTAAAGAATAAATGTGAGGACTCGCACATTACCCCCACCAGATACCTATGCAGTTAAGAGGTTCTCCATCAATGACCTAGACATTTTCCCCCATTCACCTCCTTTAATTTGAATAATTTGAAATAGACATAGAACTAGTAATTTTTTACATTATGACTTTTTGGTGATCTATTATTCAATTATCTAAAAATTTTTATTAAAATATACAAAAATATACTCATATTTAAAGATATATTCTTAAATCCCCCCCCCCCACCCCACATTACTAGTTTTGGCCGAATTTATGGCGCTAAACTAAGCCTTACGGGTTTTACTTTTACTGCAATTACTACTAGATTTAGTTATGAAGTGACTAGTCGGAAAAAGCTTTTGTCCTCTAGCCTACACTGGCCGGCAAAAAACGAAATGACCCTATGCAATGGGCTCATATTACTCTTTTAGCCTTATCCTTCTAACAAAACTAACTGTATCATGTGGTTGAGTGGTTGGGCTATGGGCGGATCGTCAGGGGGATAGAATAAGTAGAACTAGTAAAGAGATCTACCCATCTAGTCTGTAGTAAAGTATAACATATTTTAAAAAAATATTTTTTAGGGCATATTTAAATCTACTGTAGCACTGTTTAGTAAATTAAATAGGCCCATTCTAGCCAGAAAAAATTATGTATGTGCAATGGAAAAAAACTACGACTTGCTTTTGCGGCGATGTTTTCAATGGTACTGTGTGTGTGTATGCGTGTGTTTACAAAACAAACCAACCGCAGAAACCCTAGCCCTAACCCGAACCCTGTAGCCCTAACCCTAGCTCAGCTAGTAAATTAAGGTCACTGCGCATGTGCAGAGCTATCTTTTGCCGACCAGGTGGAGACTCTGGGGCGGAAAATCTTTTTCCGAGTAGTCATTTTGAATTAAATACTAGTATTTCTCGCTAACTTGGAGGCGTGGTCGGTTGCTAACAACAATATGGCGTCCGGACCGGACGCTTGACTTCCGACGATTTTTCGGCCAAATTCCAGAGACCTTCTACTAATTAGTTTTTAAAATGTTTACCACGCGCAAAATGGCGGGACTTTCACGTTATAACAACAAGCTATAGGTGGCAGGGCTATATATGCCAGAAAAGCATTTTAAAATTTGCGTTGGAGAATGAAGGCTAAATTTAAAAGGTGGTTTCATCAAAAATACTAGAACTTTTTAAATATCGATTTCCATATTACAAAATTGATTTCCATAGTAAAGCATTATTAGTTTTATCAGTCTATGAAAAAATAAATCAAATATCGTCAACACTTTTTTTATAACACCAGCTCCAAAAATGACAACCAAATTTTTTTTTAAAAATAAACCACGTGACCACTATTTGGAGATCACTAGCGAGGAACTCTTGTGCATGGCCACTTTACCTTCAAGGGTTAGAAGAGTTGTCATGGAGAGATGTGTTGGACATGGCAGTGATTGACAATAAATATTAAATTAAGTAATTTAGTTTAAAAAGAACTAAAAACTCCAAAGTTAGTGCCTAATGGATTAAATATGGATGTCTATTATTCAGTGGTCATGTTTAAATTGATAATTGCGTAAATTCTAGATTTAGTGAGAAAAACTATTAAATACGCAACTTCTTCCAACTAGAAGCATCCTTTGGGTGTGGGGAAATTGCGAGACGCGAAAAGCGAAATGGCGAGGCGGGGAAAATGTGAGAAGGGCGCGAAAACGGTCGGTCACGTGACTTTTTTGTCTCGCATTTTACCACAAGCCGATACTTACGCTGGGTGGTGTTGAAATGCGAAGATTTCTGCGAAAAATTTACCTCACCCGATTTTCAGTGGTATTTGGTCCAGACTTCAAAGACGTTTCGTTTACATTGTTAAAACTTCCGATTTTTCCGTCGCTAGACATACTGATGATTTGTCAACTCCCCCCATCTTTTGTGTCGACTTAGAATACCACCTTGTTCGAAACCGACGGAAATACCGCCGACGATAGATCAACTTCTGTCTTTTGTGTGGAACGCCGAGGCCGCCTGATTTACCGTCTTTGAAGATCGCCGTGCCCGGATCCGCTGCCGCCGCATACATATTTTCTATTGTTGCATAGAAATTTTGTATTATAGCCGCCGCCTACGATTGTTTTCTAGTTTTTTTTACCATATAAATCTAAGCACAAGGAAATGCCTACATCATTTGGATACTACAAAATAAAGTGACGTCACCGATATTATCAGTTGCTCGTGCTATAGCGTAAGCTATGGGCCTACTTCAAATATTTTTTAAATTAAGTTGAACTTATCTGAATTTTTTGGTTTTGGTGGTGGTGTTATTTGGGGTCTTCCATAAATGACGTCACACTCGTAGGGGGGGGGGTCTGTAATTTTATGACGATGTTTGATGAGGGGGAGGAGGGGGGGGGGGTTAGATGTGAAGTCACACTATAAAAAGCAATGTTAGAAAAAGAATTTTAGACGTTTTTTCGCGTTTAAGAAAACTGTTTTAATAAAGTGTAATAGGAATTTATTAAAATACTCTATTTTGACCGAAATTAGACAAGATTTTGGGAAAATATCGATGTTTTAAAAAAAACTCAACTGCTGGTGACAACAATGAGCAAGACATTGCCAAAATTACAGAAATGATAAAAAATACAAATTATAAAAAACGGAAAACAGATGTTGAGCGTGCGGATGATGATGATGAGAACATGGGTGCCAGTGTTGTTTGTGGGATGAACGAGGAGGTCAACTGTGATGAGAATATGAAATGTTGTGAATGTGGATTGGAAGAAGTAGCAAAAGAAAAATGTATAAATGGGAGTCTAATGAACTGGGTTGGGTGTACTATGTGTGAAAGATGGTGTCAGGCGGTGTGTTTGAGGACTGTTTCAGAAGATTTTGTTTGTAAATTTTGTTTGTAATTAAAATTACTTAAAAAAATAAATTGCACTTTTTAGAATTGTTTATACTTTTACACTTTTTGCAAGTACAAAAATCCATAAATAGATGTTGCAAAATATCTCTCCTGCTGACAAGATTATACCAATTCACAATGACACAGCTCACGTTTGTATAAACATGAGCGGGCTAGATTTTTAAATTAATGCCGACTGAGACGGGAATTTCCTCTCGCTAACAAGAGCGGGCGATGACAGTAGCACAGCAACGATGTTAGGATTTTTAAATAGATAGATCTAGATCCTCTCTATCTTCTTAGTATCTAGATAAAAAATAACAACATACAACACTCGTGTTAAAGGGTATGGCTAAATGCTTGTTTATTTTAAAACAAAAAAAAAAATAATTTAAATAAATAAAGATGGAAAAAAAAAGGAAAAAACTTTTTTCGCAAAAAGTGTCTCGCTATTTACCCTTAATTCCGCAGGTATGTCTCGCATTACCTTCTCGCATTTTCCCGCCTCGCCATTTCGCTTTTCGCGTCTCGCAATTTCCCCACACCCGCATCCTTTTAGTTAAGTCAAGATCTAGGAGCTGTTAAGTACCAGTACTTGAGTATTAGACTACTGTAACACACTAGTTGTAGTTGGTCAGCTAATCTAGATCTTCCACTCACACCACATTGACTACTGACTACTGACTACTGTCACTACTCAAGTACAGGCGTACAACACAAGCCACAAAAGTCAAAACTCAAAACAAAAGCCAGCTCACTGCCAAAACCTACCTGCCAGTAAACCTCTCGGATTGTCTTCTTTAGAAAATGGTTTGTCTTTCCAGCCTTCTGGAACAGTAAGCCGATCGTCTTCTTTTTCTGCAGTCATATTATCTTTTTCACACGCTTTGTAGAATCTTAAGACTTAATCGTGTGCATGAGTTACGCTAAAAAACACACCATTCCTGATTTTAAACTTGCTTTGGTCCTACTAAGTTCCAAAAGCTTACATTAAGATTCTAAATATTAGGGTAAAAAAACAACTGGGATAAAAAAGGAAAAATCCCCCATTTACCATCCCCCCCCCCCTTTCAAGGATTCCCACAATAAAAATTAATTTGTTTCTATTAATAAAGGCAAATAAAACAATATATAGGCCTATATATATATAGGCATATATATATATACAGTGGCGTAGCCAGGATCGTCTCAAGGGGGGGGTTCCAATTTTTACCCGGGGACAAACTTTCGATTTGCACCCCCCCCCCTCAAACTTTCGATTTGCACCCCCCCTCAAACTTTCGATTTGCACCCCCCCCCTCAAACTTTCGATTTGCACCCCCCCTTCAAACTTTCGATTTGCACCCCCCCTCATACTTTTTATATATACCGAGGGGTCTATGGGGGGGGGGTTATGACCCCCCCTAACCCCCCCCTGCCTACGCCACTGTATATATATATATATATATATATATATATATATATATATATATATATATATATATATACCTAAATAAATAATGACTTGTTATCTGATCTAGATCTACACAAATAAATTAATAACACATTATTATTAATACTACTTATGCCTGCTTAATAATATTTAGAGTGTAAACTATTTTCTGCATCAAACATGTTACATGCCCAGCGAATTGTTGGGAATCTCAATGAGTCTGTTGGTTAGAAGCATATGCATGGGCTGCACACACACCACCGCCCCTCAATCATTTCTTCCAGGCATCTCTTCAGGGGTACTCGCCCCCCCCCCCCCCTTCGAACGAAATGGAATTTATATAAAAAACATACTTTTACCAGTAACCCCCCCCCCCCCACCCCAGGAAAATGTAGTCTCTCTCCCCCCCCCCCTCCCCTGGAAGAAACACGGCCCTCAAAAAAAAAACTAATTCATATAGGCCTGGTCCAAAACACATTTTGTGTTAGGTCTATGTTTTGAGATAGATTAATTGGAATAACAAAGGCTAAGTCTATTTCGTTTTTTTTTTTAAATTCTAGGCCTAAACCTGTTAGCTAGGCATATAGATCTAGATCTAATACGAGGTATGAAATTTTCGCAAAATTATATTTCATTATTAAAGGAATAATATAATATAGCTTTGCAAAACCCTGGATGGAATTAATATTAAGAATTTTATTATTTGTAAATTATGCAAATTCAAAGCCAATTTTCACAACTTATTAGGAAAATATTTAGACTGTTGACTGAATAAATTATACATTTTTCTCGAATCATTAGATTTATATATAAAGATCTAATATCACGTGACGCCAGCATGGCGGATCCGGATGCTTCTTCAGTCATCAAAAGTTACAACTGTGGAGCTTTTATGTTTATATTTAACTGATTTGTAATTTATCATCGGTTTTGTAAACAATAGAGACAATTTATTAAATTTTAGGTTCTCAGTGTGGTCGGCACTTGCCGAAACCAATATAGAAGCGATGTTCCTTACAAGAGCATTAGAAAAAATTCTTGCAGATAAAGAAATTAAAAAGGCGTATCATTCACAACTCAAAAAAGCCTGTGAGGGGGCATTGGGTAAGTTAATAACTTAAAAAACTTTTAATTTATTAATTTAACAACATATTAAGACCAAGACTAACAAAATAGGCCTATACTTAATTTTTTAAGCTAGGCTTAACTACTTCTATTAGATCTACTAAATTTCTGATTAAAGTAAACCAAACTAAGTTTGGCCCAGTTGGGCAGTTTGGGTGGATTTTTATTTTTTATACCAGTGGCAGTCAGTGTGACACTGTGTGCCGATTGTCCAATAATATAATATTATAATAAAAAGGGGTTCTAGGTTGCTGGTAGTTAACTAAAATAAACTCATGGCTTGCAAGTGTCAATGCTAATCCCAACCCTGGTCCTGCTGCCATACGCCTAACCCTAATTTCTAACCATAAAACGGTAATGTCACGATATAGCAATCGGTGGTAAAACTCCATTTTAGCGTATTTTATTCCCCGCTTCATGTTCACCTCCAGTTGAGCATACTTGATTATAAACACAACCGAAACACACAAAAACTGTAGGAAAACATAGGGCTTATTTCTTTATGTTATGAAGTTCTTCTAATCTTGGTGAAGCTGAGATTAAAATAGGCTAAAATTGAGTTTTACCAGCGACGGTTATTATTCCGGAGTGATAAAGCAGTAAAAACAAAACCATGGCGTAGTCTGACACAGTGTTCCGGAAACCACTTGAAATACAGTAAACAGTATTTTATTTGGCGCCATTATTTTTAATACATATGGTTTAGAATGTGCATAGATTGATCTTAGTTGCATTTTATATACTGTTTTGCTAATTATTTTGTATTTCTAATTATTTTAAGTGTATGTGCTATTTATTGCTACTACTAAACATAGTTTTAGTTCTTCTTACTACTTTAGTAAATCTAATCGTCTTATTTTACTAGGCCTAGCTCTAAAATCTAGTAGTTGTTGCAAATCTTCTGTAAGCCTTTTTGGATGATATTTCGAGTCGTCCCTTTGAATCCCGGTCAGAACGTTCCCCGTCGTGGCCTAAACCAACCATGCAATGGCTTTGCCTAGTCAATAAGTCATGTTATGATGTTTACAAAACTTACAGTGTTTTATACTTATTAAAATATGTGTCTACGAATTGCTGTACGGTAGTATATTTTAAATTTAACAATTAGGCCCAAGCATTTTACTATTTAGATTAATGTTGAGTAATTAGGCTATTCCCAAAATCAAACTCTGCCAGAAAAAACTTTTTAAACACCCTCTTCCCATTTGATTAAGTAATTTAATTTAAATATTATTATAATAATACTATTAGTAGGCCTATTACTACTTTTAAAAATTGACTTGATCTTAAGCAACGTCATTTTACCTTTAGCTACTGCTGGCTTATTGGGGACTCTAGCAGTAGAGAGCTGGACTGTCCCTGAGTCCACCCAGCTCTGATGGGGTCCTTACTTACGTTAAGGAAAGTAAAGGTGGCTGGGCATAGTGCTGACCACAGTATCTCTTCATATGCAGAGGTCACAGAAATAAGTGAACTCTGCTTCACTTGCCCTATAGACTGTCAGGTTTGAAAAGGGAACTTTACTTACTTTTACGGCTGGCTTATGGGGTTTTACATTTATGACAGCCACACAAAAAATTTGACTTTTAGCCCCGCATTCCACTCACACACAGTGAGAACAAATGTTATTTTTCTATGGAAAAAAATGTTAAAAAGCATTTTTTTCTCTAGTTTTAAGTAGATTTATAATAATCTTAAGGCCACATCAGGCTTATGAACCCTATTTCTGTTTTCTCCAACACTTACCTACTGCAGAGATACTAATTTTATTAATTTAGATTCCATGAATACACGCTTTGCTGTTGTTGTTTTTTTAGACTAGCACCTCAGTTTAAAAGTTAAATTTTGTATGCACATAAAATATTTTTTGTGCATGTTTGCTGTAACATGCAATTATTTTGATGCTTAACTAATTAAATGGACAATTACATGGACTAAAATGCTCCCAACTCATATTTACAAAAGTTGATTTTTTCTGAGCCCCCCCCTCCCCTAAACACCAGTTTCTACTTTTACCATTGAACTGGGCTAAACTTGGGGTTTGGATGTCAATGATGATTTAGTAAAATGTGTTTACATTAGCCAACTTTTGAATACACATAATTTTAGGTAGCCAAATAGAACATTGAGAAATTAATTTGAACTCTTTGTCTCATTTTAAAATTTATATACATTTCTTCCAAGACCAAAGTGTTATTTGATTTCCCACCTTTTTCTTTGTATCTACTACTCTACTAATATTTTTTTTTCCAGATGAACTTAAAAGTGAAAATAAAAAGAAGTAAGTACTACTATTACTATCTTCTTCCTTTAAAGTTTGTTAATGTTTGTGTTAAAATTGATCTTTCTTGATTAATTCTTTTGCAATTCACACACTGCTTTGTAAGAATGAAATAATCAAAATATTGATATTTTTAATTTCCCTCACCTGTTATAGTAATTTTAAAAATTTTAACCAGCTTTTAGAAGCATTAACAATTGACATGCACAGGAAATAAATGAAACCAACCCTGCTTACATTTTTCAGCCATGAAGATCCTAAAGAATCTTCCTCAGCTCTACCTGTTCCAAAACAAGCAGGTTTTGTTGAAGCAGACAAATATTTCCTGCCCTTTGAACTGGCCTGTCAATCTAAATGTCCTCGAATTGTTAACATAGCTTTAGATTGTTTACAGGTAAATTTTTAAAAATATTTAATAGTATTCTAGTTTGTTATTGGTTGTTTTTTTTAGGGGGGGGGCGTGTAATCAAGAATTCATTTTCTCACTAAGTTAATTTTTATGTTTATTTCACACAAAATATGTGTTGTTGTTTTTTTTTTAGGTAAATTTGTTTGTCTGTTGTTTATTTTATTTTATTTTTTTTCCACGCTAATAAAGTTACCTTTTTTGTATGCAGAAGCTTATTGCGTATGGACATTTGACTGGTAATCTCCCTGACACAACATCTCCTGGAAAACGTCTTATTGACCGCATAGTGGAAACAATATGTGGGTGTTTCAATGGTCCTCAAACAGAAGAAGGTGTTCAGCTACAAATTATTAAGGTTATTGCCTTTTCAAATATGAAGGAGTAAAAATAACAAAAATGAAAATGTTTTAAAACAACATCATTTAATTTGACTATTTAAGTGTACAATTTTAACTGTTAACAAGCTAAAATAAATAAAATGTATGTAAGCTTTTTAGATATGGAAAGGCTTGACTCAGCAGCATTATTTAACAGCTAAAAATTACCATTAATATTCTACTATTTGGCATTGCTTGTTTAAGATAAAAGATTGGTTTGTATTCTTAAAGTCACCAACAGATTAAGACTTTTTTTAAAAATAATTTTATAATAATTTTTTTTTTAATTATAATTTTATATTTTATAATAACTTTTAACACATGTATTACCTAAATAGGCACTTTTAACTGTGGTTACATCCACCACATGTGAGATCCATGAGGGCACTGTGTTGCAGACTGTTAGAACTTGCTACAATATTTACTTGGCTAGTAGAAATCTAGTCAACCGATTGACCGCCAAGGCCACTTTAACTCAGATGCTAAATGTCATCTTCAGTCGTATGGAAACACAAGCTGTAAGTTAGGTCTAATAAATGTCATCTGTATGTCTACACTTTTTAAAAGATTTTTAAAAAATTATTCCGTGCTATTGTTTAAATAGTTTTAATTGCAAATCATCCCATAAACAAAATAATTTGGTTTTTTAAGGGTAGACTTTTTAAGCAATTTTATTCCTTGCTTGAAAAGATATTAAGCTAATATTGAATACAATGTAAAAGGTTAACAGATTTTTCATAACTTTTACAATGCTTGGCCAGGCACAAGACGAAAAGGTCCAAGAACAGAGTGATAATAAAGATGCCAAAAAGACAGATGTTGTGAATGGACAAGAAACCAATGTAATTTTATTGTCATTTATTTAATTTTAATTGTTACATAGAAATATTTTTGTAAATACTAAGGTTTTTGTTTTTACATATTTAAACATAAACAAAAATATCATTACAGTTTGATTTCTGTTTTAATATTAGTTTTCTTTTACTCAGGATAAAAAGGAGAGTGCTGATGAGGGTGTCTCTGTTGAAGAAAATGGGGAAGATTCAAATGACTCAGTACAGGCCAAGTCTACAAAAAGTAAACTATACCCTTTTTAGTTCATAAGTAATGTCTTTTAATTAGTCTTAAATTATGTTGTATCAATGATTGGTTATACATAGATTATCATCATGTTTTCACATGGTGTACTAGTTTAAAACTAAAGTAAAGTTTTAACTGTTACAGATAAAAATGAAACGGAGGATTCTGTCAAAAACAATGGTTCAACCCAGAATAGCAGAGAAGGGTCATGTGAGACTGACACAGCTGAAGGAATAGTGTCTAGTATTTTAAATGACATTATACAAAATGTTGGTAAAGGTTAGTCAATTCAGAATTATCTGTTATTCTTTATTAACTGACCTCACTCAACATCTTTTTAAAAAATGTCTCTGCCTGTTTATGGACTTTTTATTTGGCTTAAATCATTAACATTTGACTTAAATTTTAATCCTATGGTCATTTGTATTCTCCAGACATAAATTTTTTCTGTGCCATGAATTAGGTTATTTTTGTAATTTTAGATAATTTTAAAAATATTTTTATAGCTTCTAAACAGTTAGTTGTTGGTTAATAAGTAAGCTAAATTTAAGTTAAACATCATTGTTAATCAAGTAATTATTTATTGAAGTAATTAAGTTAGCTCCATATACTGTATAAAGTTTAGTTTATTTTGATACAAACTGCCTTAGTTTGTTTAAAGCATGAATAATACATTTTGCTTGACTTTTTGCTACTAATTGACAAGTCATCCTTTGCGCACTAGCATATGCAAAAAAAGTTGCACGTTATATGCTTGATCTGGAGTAATTTTAATTTATCTTCTTATTATTTCTTAGCACATTTTTCTCAGTATTGATTCAATTTTAGGGAAAATACTTAAAATTAGGTACTGAAAAATAATAATGATTAAGGTCTGGAAGTCATTGAAAGCTGACTCTACTGTCACTACCTTTCATTAGATTGGGTTTGCTGCTAATACTTTATTAGATTATATTTTTTGCCATTTTAATTTGGTTCCCAATTAGGCGAAGAAGATAAGCCTGGAGCGACAGAAAACCCTAGTGACAATGTAGTTGAATCAAACAATGCACAGAATGACACAAATCACCCTGCTACAGTAGAACAACAAACGTCTGTAATGACAAACTCAACAGAAGGTGATTGATCCTAACAGGAATTTTGTTAGACTTTCTTTAATGTAAACTATTATTAATGGTACTGTACAGTAGCAGATTTGATTAAGACTTTGTGTCGATTATTCATTTTTTGTTACTTCATTAGTTAAATCAATCTTTTTTTATAAGAAGCTAATTCTGCCTTATTTTACATTTATACATGTAATCTACTCTGATTTTATCATGATTAGTCACTGCATGTATACATTCATTCTTTCTTTTCTTGGATTGGATTGGAAGTTCCTAAGCTTTAGCATGTTATTTTTTCTTCTTTTTTTTTTTACATTTTATTTCAGTGTGCCAACTAAAGATAGTTATCCAGAGTTGTTATTTTTTAACTAAAATCTAAATTATTAAATATACATCAAAATGTCTCAATAATTTATTAAAATTGTGTACTTTAAATTCATTAAATATACATACAATAATTGTATTCAGGTACTGCAACCTCACCTGATGATTCTACTGAGGGCGGAGAACAGTTTCATGGAGCTTTCAGTCACATTCTTCAAAAGGATGCCTTTCTAGTATTTAGAAGTCTATGCAAGCTTTCTATGAAGCCTTTAGGGGACGGACCACCAGATCCAAAGTAACTTTATATATAACTATATTTATAATAATATTTTTTTTTTTTTTCTTAGCTGAAATTATCGGTGATGATAAAACTTGTATTATTCTATTTCAGGTCCCATGAACTGCGCTCTAAAGTCTTGTCTCTGCAGTTACTGCTTTCAATACTACAGAATGCTGGACCAGTATTTCGCACAAATGCCATGTTCATTAATGCAATAAAGCAGTATTTGTGTGTTGCTCTGTCCAAGAATGGAGTCAGCTCTGTGCCAGAAGTGTTTGAGCTTTCCTTAACTATTTTCATAACTTTACTTGCAAATTTCAAACAGCACCTTAAAATGCAAATTGAGGTAAGTTTTATTTCTTGCTTTTTTCCAAACTGGTTTTTGTCCTATTTATCAATTTTAATAGCTGTTAATATCTGACAGTCAGTTTTTAGTTGTCTGAAATGAGTGTTAAAGCTATTGCTCTGTACTTGATGTTTGAAGAAAAATAAAAATGTGTATATACATTTGTGATTTATTTTTTCAGGTATTTTTTAAAGAAATATTTTTATACATTTTGGAAACCCCCAGTAGCTCTTTTGAACACAAGTGGATGGTTATTCAGGCACTTACAAGGATTTGTGCAGGTTTGAATTCATGCATACTGTAACACATGATACAAAAACTAAATATTGCATTGAAATTATTAATTAGGTGCTTTGAAATTTCTGTTATCACAATTTTTTAACCATTTTTTCTCCTCTTACAGACGCTCAAAGTGTTGTAGACATTTATCTCAACTATGACTGTGATTTAGCATTGGCCAATATCTTTGAACGTCTGATAAATGATCTTTCAAAAATAGCCCAGGGACGTCATGCATTAGAACTAGGTTTGTTTATTTCCTTATGTATTTTGCGTATTTCCTGAATATCTTCTTTAGACCTAGAAATCCATTGAGCATCTGAAGTAGAGTTTCTTGACCTATGATACAAAGGGATAGGGTAGTCACCACTAAGCTCAGCTGCCTTTCCCAACATAAGTCCAATAACCATCAGAGTTGGGTGGACTCAGTAAAAAAGCTGAAACGAGATCCAAACTCAGGACTTTTGGGATAGCAGCCAAACGTTCTACAATTAATCCTGCCGTCCCACTGTAACAGAATAGTTCTTTTTTAAAAAGTTCCCTTTTTCAAATCTGACGGTCTATAGGCCAAGTGAAGTATAGTTCACTTGTTTCTGTGACCTCGGCATATGAAGAGATAGTGTGGTCAGCACTATGCCCAGCCGCCTTTACTTTCCCTAACGTGAGTTAGGTACCCATCAGAGTTGGGTGGACTCGGGGACGGTCTACTGATTTGAACCCGGATTTGAACTCGAGACTTACAGTCCAGCACTCTACCTCTAGACCACTCCGTCCCATTAGAATAGTTTAATTAAGCATTATTTTTCGGAGGTTTTTTTTTTGGACAAAATTGAGCTTAATCAAGTAGATATTTCTAAAACTGTAATCACCATTTTTCTTCTTATCTGTTTGTACAAATTGAATAAATAATTTATTTAACAATTACTTTTATTATTATTATTTTCTCTCAGGGGCTACACCTAATCAAGAAAAGAGCATGCGAATCAAAGGACTTCAATGTTTGGTATCTATCCTGAAGTGTATGGTTGAGTGGAGTAAAGATCTTTACATCAATCCTCACTCACAGTCTAACTTGGGTGTGTAAGAGTAATGTTCTAGTATTTCATTGCATATCTGATGTTATGTTTCTTAAGTCTACTTTTTAATACTTAAGCTGATAAGTTAAAATAAGAAAAGATAGTTTATAGGGCAAATATTAGAATTTAGATCTGTATGAGTATTTAAAAATGTAACCTTTCCTTTTGAAATACTTAACAGGTCAGGATAGCAAACCGTACACAGAAACAGACAATGACTCGGGTAGTGGGACGATGACAAGCTATGGGAGCACCAACTCTCTTAGCTCTAATTCTAGCGCTCCCACTACTGTTGTTGCTGGAGGAAGCTTTGCTCCTGGTACAGTTCCTGCTGATAATCCCGAACAATTTGAGGTTCTCAAGCAACAGAAAGAGGTCATGGAAATAGGAATAGAGCTGTATGTAATATTTTAAAAACATTTCTCTATAAATTTATAAAATGTTAATTTTGTTAATACTCCAGTTAATAATCTTGTTTTTTGTTTTTTTTAATCAATCAACAGGTTTAATAAGAAACCTCTTAAAGGTATTCAGTACTTACAGGAGCAAGAAATGTTGGGTAAATTGCCTGAAGATATTGCAGAATTCTTGCACACTGAGGAGCGCCTTGACAAGGTATGTTATTTTTTCCTGATTTTTAATCCGTTTAACATTATATATGTAAAATATATATAGCATTAACTTTTCATGTTTTGACTTTCTTTTTTCAGACTGTAGTGGGAGATTTTTTTGGAGAAAATGAGAAGTAAGAGTTTTATAAGTTGTTAGTTTCTTTCCCCACTTTTTTCATTCATTGAGTTATAGAACAAAATCAAATAAGTATGTTAAAGTATTTAAACAGTATAACACAAATTAAAAAAAAATGACAATTGTTTTTACTTTCAGATTTCACAAAGAAGTGATGTATGCGTATATAGATCATATGGATTTCACTGACATGGATATTGTTTCAGCTTTGCGCAAATTTTTAGAAGGTTTTCGGTTGCCTGGTGAATCCCAGAAAATTGACAGACTGATGGAGAAATTTGCTTCTCGTTACTATGAATGCAACAAAGAGTAAGTACTAGTAATGAATTTAGCTTAATGATCATTCAATGGAGGAAACAACTTTGGGGTCAACAAAAATCGTTTAATGTGCATAATAGAATAAAAAATAAACACTGTAGGATTTCCAAACATTCTCATTTTTCAAAGTGCACAACAACGGGTATTTAAGTTAAATTTTAACATTAATAAGTAAATTTAAAGGTTGAGATCTTTAAAATTTGTCATCTGTTTTTCAGATTAGAAATATTTGCTAGTGCAGATACAGCTTACGTTTTGGCCTTCTCTGTTATTATGTTGACCACTGATCTTCACAATCCTCAGGTAATTATCAGAAAATTGTTTTGAAAACTTATTTAACCACTTTGCTTTGTAAAATAGAGAGGTTAACTGTTTCAGTAATTCTGAATTAAGTAAGCTTTATTTCTGCACTTTATTATATAATTCTAGGTTAAGCCAAGTTCTAAGATGACCAAAGAACAATACATTAAAATGAACAGAGGCATCAATGACAGTAAAGACTTGCCTCCTGATTACCTCTCGGCTATCTATGATCAGATTGCTGGCAAAGAGATTAAAATGAAAGCCCACAGTAGTGGTATCAAGCCAAATAAACCATCAAGTAAGTTTTTTATTTATTTTTACATTGTATTTTCTGTTGGTAACATGTCTTATAAGCAATCAATTAGCTGATAAGTACTAAGGATTGATAGTAACTACGCAACACGCTATTGTAAACTGCAGTATAGTCTGTTGTCACACTAGGATGTAGTCCATTGACAAAAGTCCTTTAGGCACCTTGATCCTGGGCTAATTTCTCCAACCTTCCCTAGTGGTAACCCATCTGTAATAGTTCAATGAAAAATGATTAAATACGTCCAATCTTTATTAAATGGTGTTATGTAAGCAAAGTAATTTGCAATCAGTTTTCACTGTAATGAAAAGTATTCAAAACTATGATTGATTGAGAGTTAAAATGTATTTTCTGACATTTTCACTCCCACTGGATAAAACTATTCCTTAAGAAAAAAGCTTTAGTTAGTATGATTATAACAACTTGAATTAACAATTCATTTATCAAAACAAATATTTTTACTTATCTAGAGGACATAACCTCAGACAAACAGCGGAGACTTTTGTACAATGTAGAGATGGAACAAATGGCACAGACAGCCAAAGCACTTATGGAAAGTGTCAGCCATTGTCAAGTTAGTTTTACTAGCGCTACACACCAAGAACATGTCAGACCTATGTTTAAGGTATTTATTGGTTTAACTATTTTTCTATCCTTGTTTTTTTTAGATGAATAATTTTTAGCTGTTAACAAATAATTTTAAGAACTTTTACTGAAGCAATATTACTATCATCTTTAATATTTTCAGCTTGCATGGACCCCATTCCTTGCAGCATTTAGTGTTGGTTTGCAAGACTGTGATGACAATGAGATTGCCCAACTTTGTTTGGATGGGATACGTTGTGCTATTAGAATCGCTTGCATATTTCACATGGAGGTACGGCCTTTAACATAATTATTTTAGAAGCTTTCTGATGGTTGCCTTAGTTGGGGATAGAGAAGTCAGTTGGAATAGTGCTGACCACATAATCTCTTCATTTGCAGTTTTAATAGAAGCAGATTAGCTCTTATTTCCCCTTAAAGATCATAGCATAAAAAATTTCACCTTTATTCAACAAGTATTTAAAAAATCTCATGTTTTCTTTAAGTTCCATTTTATCATTTCATTTTCTGCATTTATTTACAGCTTGAAAGAGATGCATATGTTCAAGCACTTGGAAGGTTCACCTTGCTGACCTGTGCCACACCTATTACAGAAATGAAAACCAAAAACATTGACACAATTAAGACACTCATCTCTGTGGCTCACACTGATGGAAACTATTTAGGAAAATCTTGGCTAGAGGTCAATGAATAGATTTTAAAAATTATAATCAGTAATCTTTAACTGCTTCTTTTTTTTTAAATATTAAAATATCTTTATCATGTCAAAAGTGAATGTTAAAAAATAAAAGTGCCATACCAATTGCATTATTCCAATGAAATTTGGATCACTACATTTTTTTAAATTTATTAACTTATATTTTTTTTCTATCCAGATCTTGCGTTGCATTTCTCAGCTTGAGTTAGCGCAGTTAATTGGTACAGGAGTTAAAACAAAGTACATTGCCTCTGGGCCACACTCAAGCAATCCGGTTGAGGCACATGATCCAGAAGGTAATTGTACTTAGGTTTTACTTATCTTTACATAAACCTTATTTAACTTACTATACACTGAGATATCTTAAACTTTTGTTTTCATAACACTGCTGATAGAAATGCCGACTTCATTTATTGTGTTGTTTTTTTTCCCCAGCCATTGTAAAAGGTAACATGGGAAACATGGACAGGCAGAGACTAGCCAACTTTCAGGAGACTGTAGGTGAAACAAGCTCACAAAGTGTTGTGGTAGCAGTGGACAGAATATTTACTGGTTCTGTCAAACTTGATGGAGATGCTATTGGTAAATACTTCATTAACTATAACTAATGAGAAATGGTTACTTAAAAAGTTAGCTTTTTTATAGTTTATAAGTATATGTTTACATAAGCATGTTTTTTTTTAAAATCTAGTTGAGTTTACTCGTGCCCTGTGCCAAGTATCCATGGATGAGTTGGCCAGCACTGCTCACCCACGAATGTTCAGTCTGCAGAAAATTGTTGAGATTTCTTACTATAACATGGGCCGTATTCGTCTACAGTGGTCTCGAATATGGACTTTCCTCAGTGAACATTTTAATAAGGTGAGCAACAGATTTTAAGAATGTATTTTTATTAAATAAACGCTGATACCAATCTTTTCTCAAACTAATTTCATTTAAATTTGTTTAATATAAAATGCAGTGTTCCCTTTCTTTCGTTATTTTATATAGGTTGGGTGCAATCCAAACGAAGATATTGCCTTCTTTGCTGTGGACTCTTTAAGACAGCTCTCTATGAAATTCATTGAGAAAGGAGAGTTTGCCAATTTCAGATTCCAAAAAGATTTCTTGCGCCCCTTTGAACACATCATGAAAAGAAACAAGTATGATTGCTTAAACAAAACAAAAATGCTTTGCAGTTATTCATAAGTTAAATAAATACTTTTAAAAAATTGGAAACCTACCTTTTTTTTAAAGTTAGCTCATATACATGTATACTTTTTGAAAGGTCTCCTGCAATCAGAGACATGGTTGTAAGATGTGTTGCTCAGATGGTGAATTCACAAGCAGCCAACATTAAGTCAGGTTGGAAAAATATCTTTAGTGTTTTCCACCTTGCCGCCTCAGACCATGATGAGGGCATAGTTGATCTTTCATTCCAGACCACAGGGAAAATTATTTGTGAGTACATTTGAGGACAGACTTATGTTATAATATGGCTGCTAAACCTTTTTGTCAGTCTTTAATGAATTTCAAAGTTTTTAAAAAATTAACTGCATCACTTTAAGTCAAATCAAATTAAGAGGTTAAATATCAATTTTTGAATATGTTTAAAATTTATCTTTCAAATTTTATAGTATCCATTACTATTTTTCCTCCAACAGCCAATGTTTTTGAAAAACACTTTGCTGCAATTATTGATTCATTCCAAGATGCAGTCAAATGCTTATCTGAATTTGCATGTAATGCTGCTTTTCCTGATACCAGCATGGAAGCAATAAGGTTTATCAGAAACTGTGCCAAATATGTAGCTGAGAAGCCCACTGTAAGTAACTAGTGCTTATGCTCATGTTTGGTGTAACATTAATGTTGGAGCAAAGCTCTTACAAATGCTTTTTTTTTTAATCTATGGCCTAGATGTTTAAAGAGCATGCAGGTGAAGAGATATCAGTTCCAGAGGATGATAGGGTCTGGGTAAAGGGATGGTTTCCTGTTTTATTTGAATTATCTTGTGTGATCAATAGGTGCAAACTAGATGTTCGGACAAGGTAATTCATATTTAATTTTTTTAAATATTTTGTTGAAAAAATATTTATGCCTTTTTATCAAGCGAGTAATTTAATTTAGAATTGTTGTAAACAACTGGCAGGTTTATATAACACACAACTGTTAAAAAATAATTTAATTTTTTCAAAAGGGGTTTGACTGTGATGTTTGAGATTATGAAGACATATGGGGAAAGCTTTCAATCTCACTGGTGGAAAGATTTGTTCAAAATAGTTTTCCGAATCTTTGATGTCATGAAGTTGCCTGAACAACAAAATGAGGTCAGTCAAAACATTTAACATTATGCAGAAGATATGTTGGAAATTTATCTTTTTTCGTTTAGATTGTTTTGTTTCTATTATTAATTAAATGCAATTTTTTTTTAATCAGAAAGCTGAGTGGATGACAACAACTTGTAATCATGCACTTTATGCTATTGTGGATGTGTTCACTCAATACTATGAGCAGTTGTCTCCTTTGTTACTGACTGATCTATATCAGATGTTACAGTGGTGTGTTGCACAAGATAATGAACAGCTTGCCAGGTACTAGTCTTTATTAAGAAACCATGGTAAAACTAAACATTTAGTCAAACATGCTCAACTTGGTCTTTAAAATTATATTATTATTTTTCTAGATCAGGTACCAATTGTCTTGAAAACCTGGTGATATCAAATGGTAGCAAGTTTTCAATTAGTGCTTGGGACCAAACATGCAGCTGCATGCTTGATATTTTCAAATCAACCATTCCACATAAGTAAGTTGTTCTTTATTAAATCAGATATTTCCTTATTTAGCATTATTAAAAGATGAGCTCCATGTGTTAGCATGTTTAGAAACCATTGTTGTTATGTCTATAGTTTCTTTATAATTTTCACAGACTATTAAGCTGGCAACCTGAGAGTGTTTTTGATGTTACCTCTCCTGTTAGACATGATTCTATTGGCTTTGAAAACCCTGTAAGTTCTATCACTACTTTAAATTCTGAATTATTTTCTATAGTATGAATGATGCTTTTCAACCCCCACAGACAAATTGAAGAAATATATGATATATAATTTAAAAGTAAAGCTTTTTAGTCAATCAGTATTTAGTTCAAATTTTTTACTTTTTTTCCCCAGGATGAATATTTTTCTGAGGTTGGTCACATGGGCAGAGCAGAAAGTATGCAGAGTATACAAAGCTCAACATCTCAGGAATGGCATGATAACAGAGCCATTAAAAGTAAGTTTCTGCTAAATATTGCTAGCACTTCCACTTGTATAAGTTTTCATGTAAATCTATAAGCCACCAGGTAATGTGTCACTCATCAGTATTGACATTTTGGATTTTTCTGGTGGTGTGAGGCTTTTATTTCATGGGAAAGTTGATGGGCTTACTGGGCCCAGATGCCCAGGGAACCATGTTCATTGGATGATTACATCACACCCTGTGGGGTGAGATATTCATAGAGGGCACTGCACCATTGTGATTTTACCATAGCAAAGCACATATATACATAGTTTTTTTAATGCGAGAATAAAACAATAGCTCATGTAACGCTACTTAAGAAATATGATTTATTTTACTCTATAAAATGTTAGCTTTTCCCAATTGTTTTTTACAAGTACATTAACTTAATCTTTATTAATTAAAAGATCAAAATTCATGTGTAGCATAATTGATAAGTTATTCCAAAAAATAATTGTTAATTTTTTTTTTGCTGTTGTCTTAGTAGATCTTGATTTAAACATGAATATGATTAATTAAAATCTCTTTTTAGAAACTGCATATGACCATCAGTTGTTCCAGAGCCTTTTAATTAAATGTGTTGTTCAGCTTGAGTTAATTCAGACAATAGACAACATAGTTTTCTTTCCTGCCACAAGTCGTAGAGAGGATGCTGAAAACTTAGCTGTTGCTCAGGTATATTTGACTTTATTTTACTGAACTACATAAGTGAATCATTTCAAATCTTTTGTCACAGCTTTACTTTCTATTAGTGATTTTATTATTATTTTTAAAAATTTGATCTGTTTTTAGAATCCATTGATTATGTTTTATTTATCAGGGCGGAGACAATGATTCCTTAACAGATTCTTATCATGAGCATTCAAGTGACGAGCAAGGAATGTACCAATATCTTTCCTCCAGTCAGTTGCTTATGTTTGTTGATTGCCTTCTTGAGTCACACAGATATGCAAAGTCTTTCAACTCTAACCATGAGCAAAGGAATGTCCTCTGGAAAGCAGGTATACTAAGTTAATAATAATTGTTAATATTTCAAGAAAAAAATCATAATTTAAATCTTTGTTGTTTTTTCATGTGTTTTCATTTTTGTTATAGGTTTCAAGGGGAAAGCAAAACCAAATTTGTTAAAGCAGGAGGCACAGAGCTTAGCATGTTTGTTCAGGATTCTTTTTAGGTTATATGATGATGTGAAGCGACAAAGTTCATGGCCTGAAGTGGAGCAGAAAATCTTAGAGTAATTTTTTTATTATTATTTTTTAATATCCAGTAAATTATAAATAATTTGTGTGTATTAAATATTAAATCACTTAAAATATTGAAATAATTTCTTATAAACCATAAATGGCAGTTGTGTTAGCCTAACTTTATTTTACTTCAGAGTTTGTAAAGAAGCCTTGGAGTATTTCCTTAGCATCCAGTCTGAGAGTCACAAAGAGGCTTGGGGAAACTTACTACTACTTTTGCTCATTCGTTTATTGCGGATGTCAGAGGAAAGAGTAAGTATAAGGATCAATCCTTTGTGAAATACAAAAATCATTTTTTTAAAACTGTTGCTTTACCATGGCCAATAAGCTAAATTATTTACTGAATTGAATCACATTGCTGTCTTTTTATTTCCAGTTCAAGATACATGCAAGCGCATATTTTCCACTCCTGTGTGAAATTATAATGGTCCCTCTTAAAACAGAAATAGTGTCTACTCTGCGCAAGTTTTTCCTGAGATTAGGACCTGCATTTGGAATAACACCCAAATCTGTTTAAATGAGAGAGAGAAATTTTATTCGGTTAATTAAAAGAAATTTATTTCATTGTGGGTCAAGTTTTTAGTGGGAATACGTTTACATTTATTTTTATGTCTAAATTTTTATATTATTTGTTTAGTTCATCAGTCTAAATTCTGTTCGAGGTATGTGTTTAAATAAGCCATTATTATTCAGGAATGTCATTAAAAACAAACTGCTAGGCATGTAGTTTGTCAAGAGTAGTTCGTCTGTAAGCTGTTTACAATTTCTGTTGTTTTTTTAAATATAAAATACAGTTGTTTTTTTTTTACTTCAAACTTATCTTTTTATTTTTTCTGGCAAACATTTACCCAAAAAAAATGTTTGTTTGCCAAAAAAAAAATCTTAGAACTTTCTGATGTTAGATCTCTTTTTTTTATGGTCTTGAGTAAACAGTATCTATTACTACTATATAACTTTAATATAACTTACATTTTTTAAGTAAATGAACCAAGAAAGTTAAAATGTTTAAAACAGTGATTTCATAATTTAAATTAGCTAATAATCCATGCTTTACATATATTTTTAACTGAATCTGCTTCCATAGGAGACTTGTCAGAGAGTTCATTAAAGCATACTTTAATTCACACTTTGAAAAAAAAAAATTTAGCAGGCTCATAGACTGGTTGTGATAGTACATAAAATATTGTCTCTATATTAAGACATCTCCCAAGCTCTAAACTACTGCAATTTTTTTTTTAAAAGCTTAACGGTAAAATTATTTAATACTTTTTTATTTGTGGTAATAATTGTATACTATGTATTTATTTTGAAACTGTGATTGCATGAGGCATCAAAATCTAATGAAGAAAAAGTGTGATAATCACCAACAGTATAGTGGTCACTTGTCTTACTTTCAGTTTTCTATTTATTATGCATTTTGTGTTGCCTGTTGCAAATTATTAGCCAATGTAAATAAAAAAATTAACATTTGCACGTGGTTGTAAATATGGTGTAAAAACATTCCTTTGTATCAATCAGTTATTTGGGATGAGATTGAAATTTATGACTGAGTGATTTTAAAAATTGTCAATAAACCAGTAAAGATCTTTATTTTTCTATGCTCAAGGGTATAAAACTATTGCTATTGTACAAATAATAATAGCTTTTACTAGAACATGCTTAAGAAATGTTGGGAATTTCTTCTGCACAAAAAAATTAAATAAATGTCTTTGCTTGCATTCCTATGCACATTTTCAAGTAGATTATACAGCCGCTTACTAGTATTAGCACAATATAAAATCTGTGTAACTAAATTCCTGAATGTTAGGCAAAAAATTTTAACTTCCAAAGGGTTGTATATAAAACTGTAGCACACATTGCCTGTAGAATCTAACATGTAGAAGCCTTAATTTAAAATCGCTCTTTTGCTCTTGTATATACACATTTTAAATTTTGGTTAAAAACACTGGATGTGTAAACAAGTTAATAAAAAATATTTTTCTATTTTGTTTCACAGAATCGATAGACATTTTAAATTTATTGAATTTTGTAAGTTATGTACATTTCCTTTATGTTGACTTTTGAAATTAGAACAGATATTTTAACCACTACAACAAAAAAAAAAAAGCAATTCATTTTCTCAAAAACTCCTTTTGTAAGTTGTTGGTCTTAGTAATAGTTTTGGTTTGGCTACATTTCTATAAGTTAACACTAGATATAAAATTCTGACTGAACTATGCAGATGTTTGTTTATTCAGATATTAGCCTTACAACCAAAATATCTATCAAAATGAAAAATGATATTTAGTTTTTAGAACTACTAGCTGATTTACCATAGTTGAACCAAGAATAGCATCATTGGAATTATTTAACTGAAATTTTTTGCATTTATTTTATTTCAAATGCATAATCTATAATAAAAAAATTGCTTAATTTTATGTTGCTATATTTAAGCTCTCGGAGGCAAGTTTGGATTTAAAAAACAAGAATTTCATTATTTTTCCCTCATGGAATAAAAATTTTCTTTTGTCTTAAAAGAAGATAATGGTTGCATACTATGTACAGTATTGTAGAGTTATTAAATACATAACAACATAGCCAGAAAGTAATGCTATATTATGACACTGGGATTAGTACAGATATATACAGGCCGTATTTGTGTAGTCCATTTTACTCATGCTTATTTGCCACATTGGTGATGTATTCATTTTATTACAGTATGAGAATTTTAACTTTTTAAAAAACCGTGTTGTTTTTGTATTTCATTTATTTATATTAGACTGATTGTCCAGTGAAAAGTCTGGCCAATACTGGAGTTACACTACTTAGTCATGGCTTACTTTTTTTATGCACATGCTATATCTTCAGAAGTAAAACAGCTTTGTTTGTCTTTAACATTTGAATGTAATATAACCCTTTACCATGTGTTCTCTTTCATTATATCACAGAAAATTTAGTATTTCTTCCAGTTTTATTTTACTGAATAAATAAATCAACCTTTATGTAATGTGAAATTGTTTAAAATTATTATATTGTTTCTTATAACACTGGTAAAGGGGTTAATGCAGGGGTCTGCAACCTTTCTGTAGAGCCATTTTCTAAAGTTACTAGTGCTGACCACTGTGTTAATGCAATCAACTGAAATTGAGACAACTTTGTGTTTTATCCAAATAAGCTGAGATGTGCTTATACAGCCTAACATTTTCATTAATTTATACTCTTGTCCTTTTTTTTTTTAAAATATTTATTATATTCTGTATATTTTGAACTATACATTAGTTTGCAATGGCTGTTTAAAATTGTGATCCAAGGATGTGAATATTATTGGTGTGTTTACTTCAATAATAGATTTGACTATAATTGAATAAAATATCCAGTTATCTAATTCCAGTCTCTTGTTTATTTTCTTATTTGATTTGCCAAAGTAATTCAGACATCTACAGTTGAAATTTTTAAAAATCAATGTATTTATAATGGAACTGAAAGAAAAACTACTTTGTCTATAAACATTTTTACAATGTTATTTAGACTGATAGTTCATATTTGGCTTACCAACTTAATTTAATAGTTGGTAAAAGGCTGAACATTTTGGTAACAGGAATCTCACTTCATCATGCCCTCAATGCATTACACCTTTTAGAAAATGTTCAATGCAAATTAATATCATGCATTACTTGGTCATTCCTTGTTCCTTCAAGGTTATAGATAATGACTTCCAAGAATATTAGTAAACTACCTCATATCTGTATCACAATGTACTTACAACTATGACTAGTCAATAAGAATATTACAAGAAAAACAATAGGAGCTGGGAAGCAGTTAGCCTATCAGTGGAACACCTCCAATCTACATAAGATGTATAAATTTCAGAAAGGTGGAAGTATCATACTTGTAGTGAGTTGAATAGCTGCAGAGTAACAATGTTCTTTCAATTTGTTTCTAGGAGAAGCAGTTAATGAATAGATCAAGATAATAGATAATGTTAATCAGGAGTTATCATATTTTTGTTTTGTGTGACTGCACATAGTTGAGTAATACAATTGATAGAACTGCAGTTGAGAACCGCAAAATAGTTTCAGATATAACATTGATATGAGTAATGTTCATTTTTCATTCATTATTAACAAATTTCTTTTGAGGCAGTTTTGAAGCATAAGATTAAGAGCCGCTGTATTATTTGAATATTTGTGTATATAAACGTGTTAGTAAAAAAAAAAAATAAAGCTTCGAGGATCTAGATCTAGATCTACATCCAACTCTAGTTCGTTGGAATATGATATTTCATCTAGATCTAGATCTTCTTCATGGGCTATACTATATTTAGTAGATCTAGATCTATACTATTACTAGATCTATCGATGGTTTTCTCTTGTAAAAAATTTTTTTTATAGTATAATGTTTGATTTCGTGTATTAGATGACTCGTTCAGCTACTTCCTGTTGAAATAACGCGGAGCACTGCCGTTTATCTCACAATCGAAAGTAACCTGTAGAAAACAAATATTTTTGTCACTGGTTAATCATAGTGTGTGAGACAAAATGGTGCGTTTAACTGCACAACTGATTAACATGTCAGCGCAAAAACACAATCCAGTTAGAGATTGGGAGCTGGACTTAAGAGGTAGGCTACGAATTTCATTTTGTGTACAATTTTCGTAACAAGACAAGAACTTAGAAGTGTGTCAGTGTCTACCGCTTACCGCCATCATAAAATCTAGATTCTAGGTATTCAGGTAAAACCTTTGTTTAGCGTAGGTTGTTACTCTGGAATGGTATAGCAGTAAAAAAAAACAACAGAAAAACAATGGTAAAGGGAAAAACTCAATTTTAGCACCGCTTCACGTTCACCTCCCGTTGAGCTAATTTTATTATAATGAAGTGACTACTCGGAAAAAAGATTTTTCTCCCCAACGTCTCCACTTAGTCGGCAAAAGAATAGTTTGTGCATGCACAGTGACCCACGGCTTGGGGTTAGGGACAGGGTTGGGGTTAGGGTTCTGCGGTTATAAACACACGCAGTACCGTCGATATCATCGCCTCGATGACAAGTCGTAGTTACTCTCCATTGTGAATGCGTATCTTTTTCCGGCTAGCATCAGCCTTAATATAAACACAACCAAAACACACAAAAATGTTAGGAAAATACTAGGATTAGAGCTAGATTTACTCTTTTTTATGAATGTGAGTTTTAATTAAAAAAGGTAAAAAACAAACATAAGAAGCATTAGGACAGTTCCAATATATATCGTGTTATCGTCAGTGTGATCATCAGCGGTAGAGAGATCCTTACACGGCCGAGGGCTCACAGTGAGTTCACATTGACTTGAATCATCAGCATATGTCAGCAATAGTAATTTGAAATTGTGTGAGCATAAAACTAAACTTAAGTTGACGATTTTGCAATAGTCACAGCGTCTTACTAAGTTGTACCAATGATAACTATATTATTCAACAATATAACATAGCCAATATCCCAGAAATCAAGATTGACAAGTAAAAATCTGATTCCTAAAAATTGTCTTTCCTTAAATACTTTTGAATTGTGTTTTTAACTTATGTGCGTAAACTCAAGTGTTTGAAAAGGTGTAGGCTTCATTAAGTTAAACATTTTTTCACCACTTTATCATTATCAGGATACAGAATTCCAGTCATCGAAAATTTGGGAGCCACACTGGTATGTAGCATAATTTAAGCTAATACTAATAGCCATATAAATATTGATTCTATTGAGTTATTTTATCACTGTAATAAAGTAAATTTTCTTTATGCAGTATATGGAGGAATGGGTGTTACTGCAAGTAATTTAGTTTTAAAATTTTATATTTGTTACTATAGTCTATAATTTGCAATGTAACAATGACACATTGGCATTTTTGTGTTTGCAGGATCAGTTTGACACAATAGATTTTACAGATAATGATGTCCGCAAATTAGATAAATTCCCACTGTTGAAAAGATTAAAACATGTCCTTCTTAGTAACAACCGTATTGTGTAAGTAAAAGGTATTTAGTTAGCCAAAACATTCTGATTATTTAATTTTAATACAGTTTCATGAAAAAAATATCACCCAGTATTTTTTTATTTCAATAAGCACTATCCTTTTTCTGTAAAAGAAAATATCACTACATTTGCATTTCACGTTTTAAAATTTTGGATTTTTTATCAAAATGTTTACTTGGTTTTAATTCTTACAGTCGAATATCTGAGAATCTTGAAGAAAATCTTCCAAGTCTAGAGACCCTGGTATTAACCAATAACAACCTTAAAGAGTTAGCAGACATAGATCCCCTCAGTACAGTAACAACACTCAAACATCTCAGGTAATACTTTATTTTTAACTGTACTATCTAATCCCATAGTACATTTTATTAATTAATAAATAGTATGTTATTTGTTGTTTTTATCATGATAAAAAATGAGTCACAATTTACTCCAAATGAAGTCATACCCTATTTACACCGTTTTCATTCCTAGTTTGATGGGAAATCCCATTACAACAAAAAAGAACTATAGATTGTATGTCATACACAAGATTCCAAGTTTAAGAATACTAGATTTTTCAAGAATAAAAATGAAAGTAAGTAGAAAGTACTACATGTATAACTACTTGTAAACTTGTGCATCAATCTCTGTTATAGTATCTTAATACTATTTTGTTTTTTAAGGAAAGAGAAGCAGCTTCTAAAATGTTTAAAAAGAAGAAAAGTCAGCCACAACAAGCAACAGTTGCAGAAAATGGAGGAGCTGCAAAAGCAAAAACATTCACACCTGGAGAAAAACTCGTACCTGTGCGACCTACACCTTCCGGACCTACAAAACAAGATGTAGCTGCTATCAGAGTAAGTAATCAAATGTGTGGGTGTGGAACTTTAAACCTTATTGTTATTTATATAAAACTGTGGTGCTGTTCATTGTATTTTAGATTAAATGTAATTATCTCTAAGCACTAAAATTGATTCAAACTTATAAATGCTCCTCCTTAGAAAGCAATAGCCAATGCAAAGACATTGGAAGAAATTGAAAGATTAAATCAGCTGCTGAAATCTGGTCAAATACCTGGACAAGATGACAGTCCTAGGAGGTCAAGTGCTGAAACAGGTGGGTCTTTAATTTTATTTTTCAACCAATGTTTATCTTTGTCTAGGGTCTTACGACATTGTTCTTTACTGCATAATATTAAATTAATGTGTTTCAAGTTTACTGTAAAAAGTTAAAAATGAAGAGTTGTTCTTAGCTCAAGTTGCTGCTAGTTTGACTGTAATCAGTTTTATTATTGGATAATTTTTAAGGATTTTTTTACGCCATTAGATTTTTTGTGTATAGTAAAATGTTATATCTATATACTAATTTGTGTACTTCATTTTTTTTCAGCAGGGTCAAAGAGGAAATTTAGGGAAGAGGAGGAGGAGGAAGAAGAAGAGGAAGGGGAGGAATATGAAAATGAAAGAGGGGAAAACATGGAGGATGATTGAATGTTTTCTTTCTGTTATTGTTGTATATATTTTAATACAAATCTTCATTGCATAGTTGTTGGGTTGGCCATCTTGTTAAGCAACCGCATTATGACATCAATAGCTCTTAGATATCCTGTCTCCAGTTTAAAAAAATTATTTCTTACATTTTAAGTTTTAACATAAGTAGTGTATCAAAATCTGGTAAGTATGAAATAGTTGGTACTCACTTCAAATTCATCATCCTTTCCTGTTCAAGTTTTTGTAGAAGGGCTATATATAGTTTGTTCTTATCACTACTGGATTTACTCTTCATCAAATGTCATTAGGGAATAATGATATCAATCACCATCTACAAAAGACTCAAATCTGTACTATTTTTCAGCAGTGATCCAAGACTACTGGCTGGAAGAACTGCAATGATCAGTCTGGTTCAGACTCCGTCAACCATAATATTATTTAGTATAGTCTCATATTAAGTCTGATTGTTCTGATACTACACTTCTGATAAGAGCAGTCAGATAACTTATTGGGGCATTGTGTCACATATTATGTTGACAGTCCAGATACTATACTTCTATTTTAATTTTTGTGACAGATTGTCATCCCCATTTTTTTGTACATTGTTTTTTTTAAAATCAGGTTCTGTCATATCTCTTTTGACCTTACCTGAAGAGATGAGCCATGTTCAGTTTTTTAACCTGATAAGAACAGAATTTTTGCAACACAACATGGAGTGATTTGTTGATGTAAATTAAACTGTTTTACAAATGTGTGATTTGTTTGAGTTTTTATTGAATGATGTTTCTAGCTAAGTTTATGACCTCAAAATGCATCACATTGTAATTGTATTCTATGGCTGTGCTTCTGCTTGTCTTTCATCTGGCCTACTCTCATTGTTTACTAGTGTGTATACTGTTCAGAATGATCCTGTGTAAAAAAAAATAATGTGACCACACTCAGGGAGAGAAAAAAATTAGGTCGTGTAAGCAAATTAAATGCTGGGCTTACTATTATGTTGAATGAAGTGGACCTGGTATGCTGTAAATATCTGAGGGGAAACCTATTAGCATTAGGCAAGTTTGTTGACCATCTGTCATATTTTTTTTCAGTCCTCTACAGGAATTTTAGGCATCTTGTGTGGAGAGGTCTAAATAGAAATACTAATTGATGGGGGGGGGGGAATTGTCTGAAGCCACAATTGATGTTTAGTGAATAAGTTAACGAAACTTTGAGTGACTTGTTTGCTTTACCATGGGACAAAATTACACCATATAGGGTAAACAGCATTGGTAGGTCAATGTTCATGTTAGCGTAGACTTCCCCAAAACCCATAGATCCACTAACAAAATGATATTTAAATAAGAAGGGTAACCTAAACTTTAAAAATAGAAAGTAATAAGATCGGTGAACTGAACAAGGCCTAAAAAACATTTTACCATCATTTTTAAAAAATTGATCTGGCCAACACGTGAAAAATATTGTGCTGGAGTTTTAAAAAATAAACATGATTAACGAACTGGATACAAATATTGTCGATGATTTTGACGACAAAACGCCTAAGTTGAAGGCCAAACGATATAATACAAAGTATAAATTGTATAGGTGTGTACGCGCACTATTTTTAATTGAGTTGATCAAAGAATCTAGATTTCTAGACTAGATTATATCTCGATCTAATTCTGCAGTCTAGATTCTCCAAGACTCCAAGATTGATTTCTCACACTCCCCACACTCAAATAATAAAATTAAAATTCTAATAAATAAAATTAAATAATCATATAGATCTAGATCTAATAATATATATATTAAAAAATTATATTAGGTCATTTTTTGGTAGGGTCTGACTAGAATCACTAGATTTAATTTTAATCTAGACATTCTAGATCTAGAATCTAGATCTATTTATCTATTATTTGTATTGTTGGCATTTGCAATAATGATAAAAAAGACTTTTAGAGGAGGTAAAAGTAAAATATTTGTTTTTAAACCATGACCAATTTATTTTTATAGAGAGTTTGCTATTGCAACATTGTCTGCACTGTCAGAAACCAAAACCACAGAGAATGCTACATCACAGCCTCAAATTTCAGCCCTAGATGCTTTGGCCTGTACAGGTGTGTAACAACACTATTAAATAATTAAAATAGCATCAAATCTTAATTTACATTTTTTTAAATACATAAACCTATGTATTACTATGTAATGTAGTATCGTATGTAGATCTAGTTGATGTAGGTACTAGTAGTATGTATGTATTATTACTTATCTAATATCTAGATTAAAATTGTAGGCTGTGATTATGCTTTTTAATTACAATAAACATTCTATATTTCTGGAATAGTATGTTCCAGAGTTTGAATTGTAAATTAATTTCTTGATTAAAAAATGTAATACTACGTTGTTATAATATAATTGTTTATTGACAGGGTTAGCTGGGATTCAATGGAAAAAACATATTTCTAAGGATGTGCATGTCACACTTGCTGATCATGATGATATAACCAAGTTGACAGCCAATGCAGAAGCCAATTCTTTATCTTGCTCAATTTTGAAACTCAATCCTTTACGGACACCTGGTGATTTGCATGGGCTCCAAGGGGAAAAGGAAATACACATCTGTCAGGCAGATGCAAAAGCAGTTATGACAATGGAAGCTTTTAATTTCATGTATGTTTTTGTTTTTAAGAAGTATTTTTTCTTAAAAATAATGGGAGTTCAGGATTATAACTAAAATTTCCAAATAAGTTATTCATTCTTCATCATATTTTATTGCAACACCATTTATTTCCTTTACCAATGTTTCCTAAGTTGCCTATTCAATATAATTGTTTCCAGGTTTGCCTTTTTCTTTTAAACTTTCTTAGATATTTTCTAATCTACTTTTAATTCTTTACCCTTTATTTATGTATATTCAAGCTGGTGTTGTTTAGTGTATTTTTTATTTATTTTATAAGATGTATTGATTATTTTTCTTAAATTACAATTTTTTTAAGATTAAATTTTATTATTTTACATTTGTGTATTCAGTTTTTTTGTTTACATCAGCATGCTAAAAAATGTATGCATTTTTTCTCCACAGATTCTTAAACCCACAAAAAAATTCAACAACCTATTTTGAGCCAGCTTTTAACAGTATTACTTGCAGAGGAATAGTCTGCTTCATATTCCCAGATATTTCACTTTTCGCTAGGTCACCCCATGTTGTGCAACGATATTACAGTGCAAATATTATTAAAACAGAATATTTAAAAGAACTAGCTGGAAGGATCATCATAGCTAATCTAGCCAAGTAAGCTACTTACTTGTATTACCTTCAGCTATATTCCTTAAATCTTTACATGTAGTAAATATGTTTATAATTACTGGATATTCTCAAATGGATAAAAAAAATTCTCTTTTAGAGCTGCAGCTAGGTGCAATAAAGGAATCTCTGTACAGTACATTGTATCTCATGAAGATAATCTACTGATCTGTGTTAAAGTAAGCCGTGGGCATTCACATGCTGACAGTTCCCTTACACAGATAGCTCAGTTGCTACACTGTAGGTTCTGTGAACAAAGAATTTTCATAGAACCACAATTATCTGTTTTAGGTAAGTTTTTCTTTCTTTTTTTGTTAAGTTGTATTATGCTATAAATGTAACATGTAATTTCTGTTTAAGTTGGACACTTTATATTTTCTTTGCAGAAGATCCTTACAGTTTGCTTGGTTGTAAATGTAAAGAGAAACACGTAGGGAAGACAGCTGTCACATTAGGTCCCATGTGGTAATTTTTAATTTCAAAAAATTTCTTAGCAAATTGTTTTTTTATTTTATTTAAAAAACCAGACTAGGATCATACCTGAATCAAGCTATGAAGTTACGAGTTACGATCTGAGTGTTCTCTGTCATTGAGGTTACACTGAGTGAGCCACAATGACTTAAATTGTAACAATCAATACAAAATTAATATTGACCGCTAATTGATATATTTTTTGGTGAAACTTAAATTTATACCAGCATTCAGAAACTACAATACAATTAAATGAGACTAGACCTCTTTTCACATAATTGACTTCCTTACACTTTTAGGACACAAATACAATCCTCAAACAATTGTAAGCTACTTAACTATCACCTCAGGCTACAAAAAAATCTTCCCTCCCTCCCTAACAGTACTTTCACTTCATTATTAAATTAATGTATTTAAAGCATGTTATGTTTCATTTTTTTGTAAACCTAAACCCCTCCTAATTATACTTGAACAACATAGATCTTCCACAATCTGAATTAAGGAACCATTTAGTTTTTTTTTTTTATTCTGTATTTCAGGAAAGGGTCAATATTTGATTGGGAGTTTTTAAATTTGGTTCAGAAGCATGGGAAACAACTCAAACTTAGCAGCAAATTTTTAGAGGTGACCCATCAGCTTTTTGCGGAGTGCATGTGCAGTGATAAAGTTAACACAAATGGTGTTGTGCGTGGAGGTAACAAATCAGCCACTGCTCAAGCTACAGATACAGTCAGTAACAATGGGGATGCACCCTCATTGGATTCGTCTAAAGATCAAAAAGAGCAAAGTGAAATAAAACAGCAGAAAGACACAGCTGAAATAGTCAATGAAAAAGATGTGGTTGTAGGTTCAGCTGAAGCACAGTCTGATCAATCAACAGGGATTTCATGTATTGTAACAGATCCTGCGCCAAACATTCATAAAAGAAAAATGGATGATGGCGATGAAAAACAAGAAGAAAGTAAACGCCAGTGTAAAGATCAATCTGTGATGATGAAACCACAGTCAGAAAATGTTCCATTCTACTATAATATTAACAAATTTAAAAGGACAAATATCCCAAAGTAAGTGTATGTGTATTAATGTTATCTGTCAATCAGGCACATATGACCCATTCATATTGTTTGTCATACTACAGACTAATTTGTATTATTTTGTTGCTTGACTAACTTTTGATTCTTTTACAATATTTCAATTAGTTTTAAAATTTTCTCTACAATAAAACTTATGTGAATTCTAAATCCTAAATTAAATAGTAACTCTTGTCCCCAGACTTGATAAACTAGTCACAATTCTGCATTGCTCAGGCCATAAAGCGAGTCGTACACACTTTGACCACAGCAGTATTAGAACATCTGCAAGTGTCGAGGAGTTTTTGAGCATCATTGGCTGAATTAAATTGATGTGAAATAGTTCGTGGGAAAACTGCTCTCCTCAGTCAAAGAAATTTTGTTTGTAAATTTTAAAAGTTACATAAAAGTTACACAATTAAATAAATTTGTTATTCTTTTATTTACCATATTAAAAGAAAAACCTAGTCCGCCAAGCAATTTAAAAATGCATATTCACAATGTTTAAAATTTTTAAATAAAATGATCAAGAATGTCATATGGTTAAGAGAAATAGTTCCATTAAAAATACAGCTCATTGGAGTAAAGATTGATGCACAAATACACTAATGTACTAGTAAGTATATCTTACAAAATTCATATAATATTATGACTTGCACTGAAAATGCAGGGAATTTAACATTGAATAGCAGTTTTAAAATGTAAAAATATATATTTAGGTTAAGAAGGTATATTTTAAAATACAATATTTTAATACAAATATCTTATTTAACTTTTAAAACCGTTTATAAATTACCATACGCTGAAAATCTGTATTTAGAATATGAGTTGAAGTAAAAAATATTTGGAAAACAATTTCCGGTTTTGGAATGTTAGGTAAGCAAGCAAATAATAAATGAAGCAGCTGAAAGCAAAACCTTAACCACTCTTGTACACATCTGTGAATACTTATTCACTCAACACTTTACATATTACATGACAACCAAAGTTCGATTATACATTAAACAAAAGCTGAGTAGAAAAAAGTTGTACATGGTGTGAGCTGAAGTAATTCACTGTCACTAAATCAAAATTATATGGAGTTAAACTAAGTCACAATCATAAAATTAGCCTTTAGCTAGTATGAAGCATAATAATTATATTCAGGGTCCATAGCCAAATCCCAAAAGAAAATTCAAGGGTTTTTCAAGGTTTTCAAGGTGATTTTGGGGGGAATTTCAAGGTAAAAACTACCACTAACGGGCATTACAATGAGGGTGATGTATGTTTTTCGCACACACAATTTTTAAAATAATGTTGGTGTTATTACAAAATTATCTAAGTCAGGAGATTGTCTAAGAGTCCAGCATAATCCCTTTTGCAATCAGTATCTTTAGTGTCAAATGACACTCCTCCAACTTCTATTTTCAGAAAAACTTCTTTCAACACTGGCTTGACCATGTGACAGAAGCAATAGATCTCTAACAATTTTCCAAGTGTTCACATAAGAAATTTTGCTACCAAGCTGTTCTGTGAAAAAACTGTCCAGCCTATCATGTGGTCTATTAAATTTAGATAGACAACCATTTAGAGTACATGTATCTATGAATGTTGAAAATTGAAACAGAACTTGGTCGCACTCAGCTGATTTCAGTTTCCATTTTTTGACTAGGATGTGAAGAATTCCTTTCATTTTTTTTTTGTGAACTGGCTCTATTTTTAAACATTAATGGTAACAGTAATGGAGATTTCAACAAAAAATTTGATGAAAATCCTATCAAAGTTGTCTTACAATCAGATTTGAAATTGAGAATTTGAAGCTCACTTGCTTTTTTTATTTTTTTTAGAGACTTTATTAGAGAGTCAGCAACAAACCCAACTTCAATTGAATGACTTGTCAATGTCAAGTGCTAATCAGAATCAGGTCATTATACATAAAAGGAAGCATTGGTTCGTCTGTCTGATATTCCTTTAAAAAGGACTCTGCACACATATTCCTTTAAAAAGGACTCTGGACACATATAGAAACAAAAAAAACCTAGCTATGCTTGTAGAAATGATCCTGCTTAATGTCATAAATGACCTCACGCTTTTTAAAAGATTTTTACCTCCCCCCCCTCCCCTCCGTCACACATCACAAAAAGCCAGGCCCCGCCCTCTAAAATTACGTCACACCTCAGCCTATAACCCCCCCCCCCCCCTTAAAACTGCAGTTGAATTTTTCTTAAAATACGATTTTTTTCCCAAAATCTTGTCTGAACTCTGTCAAAATAGAGTATTTTTATCAATTCCTTTTACAATTTATTAAAACTGTTTTCTAAAATGCTAAAATCCGTTTTCTAACATTGCTTTTTAATAATGCAAAAGTGTGATGTCACACCATCTGACCCCCTCCCCCCATCCCCTCATCACACACCGTCACACGATTACGGATCCCCCCTCCCCCTACGAGTGTGACGTCATTTATGGACGACCCCAATGTCCCCACCTATGATATACATGATGATGTAAAGAAATATCGTGGAAGTTTTAAGTTAGTTCATATCGCGGAATAACAGAATTAAGTTGTTTTTTTAAAAAACAATTTCACAAGTAACTACGCTAGTAATACTCATGTCAGAGATGTAGCCGCCCGACAAAGTGAAAAGCGGATTTTTTTTACAAGCGGATGGGAGGGGGCAGTGACAGCGGCAATTTTCTCAAACACGGTAATTCGAGGCTTCTTAAACATTCCAAGGACGTTTTACCACAGTAAAAAGCAATTAGATCTAGATCCTGCTAGATGGTGTAACTAAATTATAGCAGACCTACATATTTTGTTTTCGCTTAAATCTAGCAGTAAGCCCAATATTAAAGATAACCACGTTAAAATTAGATAAACAGCGTTTGTAGAGCTGCCTTGACCGTGAGACACGACTGTGCTCGTGCGTGGTCTCGTGTCGTAGGTCATACGGTCAGCGCGACCTTGAAGTGAGAGGTGGTAAAAAAGTGTCCGTAAAGTTGAGTGAAAACAGCACAGTCATAGTCCTTCAAATTATTTTTCTTTTCTTTTGATAAATACAAATTTTTTTTTACGTCGGCGCAAAATCTTTCCTTTTTTTAAGAAGACGATCGGCGATGCTAATGAGCTGGTAATGTTAGGATTTAGTTTTTTTTAATTACACAGCCTAGCGGTAGCCCATTGATGACGTCACGTAATTAATGCGAATTTTACCCCAACCTCTATCGTCATAAATAACCAGACAGCCACGTCAAGAATGACATCAAAAAGTTCTGTCTACAGCCTCACCCATCTGATACAGCCAACGTGTATTTGGTCCATAGCACACGTAAGATTGACGATTACGTCATTTGCTATTGGTTTTTTTAACGAACGTGATAAATAGGCCTATTGGCATTAGGAAATCTTGTTGATTAATAGTTAAAAATCTATATCTAGATCCACCACTATAATATACTGCGAAGTCACTGTAAGTTGAGATAGACCTAGAAGACCATCTAAGGTCGCAGTGACCGAAACGTCTGCTGACGTGGGGTACACAAAGAACCTTGATTGATCTAGGTTAGTAAAAACGTGTCTTCTCGCACATCTAAAACAACAGAACACAATAACTCGATAAATTATGTCTCGCTATTTACCCGTAATTCCGCAGCTACGTTTCGCCCTTTTGTGTTTTACCCACACCAAGAAAATTTTAATTTAAATAAATAGAAACCTACGCTCGCATAGTTCAGGCTATTCTTTTTTTATTTAAACCTAAGGCTTATTTTCTTGAAGAAAAAATATTAGTTCTAGATGTAGGTTTAATTATAATCGAGATAATTTCCATGCGCGACCAGAATTTTAATGATTTAGGCCACATTCAATTTTTTTCTTTACGGACACCACCGATCAGGAGACAACAGACCACTCGCGGGGTCAATAAAGTTCACAATATAAATAGAGCCAACGACTGCCGGGATATTGTCGGGAAGGGATGGGCGGCGGGGGGGGGGGGGGGTCGATTGTTATGATGGAAGATGGTTGAAACCATAGAACCGGATAACAGAAATTTAACACAAGAAAAAAAAAGGTCGACACTAAATCGATTTTGATGTTTACTGTGGGCTTTTGCGTAACATTTGCGGCCTAATTCCGCAACAGGGGTGTCAAAATCGAAAAATTACGGACAAAACCGTACAAGTAGGTAGGCCCTAACAGAAAACACTGAATCTAGATCTAGTAACTCGGTCGTAAACGGAGATACCCGAAAAACGATGCTAAATTTAGCCTTCGGCTATCGTTTACGTCACGATCTAGAATCTAGGTTAGGAAGAGCCTATGCAAAACTGGTCAGGTTGAGGTCATACCGCGAGGCTTAGTGAAGGAGAGGGTTGGAAATAGTAGACTCCGAAGTTAACGCAGACCCACGGCAAAAAAAAAAAAGCCAGACAAAGTTTAGATCCATCAGAATTGATTTTTTTTTTAAATTCGATTTACGCACGGTTTTCAAGGTTTACCTATAAAATTCAAGGGTTTTTGCTCATTTTTGGGGAAATTCAAGGGTTTTTCAATGCCTTGAGATGTTTTTTGGAATTCAAGGGTTTTTCAAGGATTCAAGGTCCGCTACGGACCCTGTGATATTTTACGTAAAAAAATTGCACCACGGAAGGCTATTAATAATAACATTCAAAATCACTATGCTTTGACTTTAAGCTTAATTCCTCTTAAAATTTGTGTATACTGGATTCTGGAATACCTAAGTCTTTGACATACTTCAACATATCCCTGGAAAATGAAGGTGGACCACAGACTAAAACCAACAATTTACTGTTGTCTCCACCTGCATGAGTTGTCACGAAATCTTTGTTTATTCGTCCTTTATGTATCTTTTCTCCGTGTTTATAACTGTAATTAACCACCTCAGGTTCCTACAAGGAAAAAAACAACTATATAAGGCTGCAACTATATAAGGCTGTAACTTTATTAACTATATCATATATAAAAGGAAAAGTAACATTGCGAAAGTTTTAATAAGCCATTATGGACAGACCTGGCTCAGTGCAAAGATTGAGGAAAAGTTCCAATATCTGCTCCACTCATCAATTTCATTTTTGGCCATCAAGTATTTGTAGGATTTGCTGGCATAGAGAAGCTTAAGATGGGTTTCATCATTTTCATCTTCAAGAATGGAACTAATAACTTGACACATTGGGGCCACACCAGTCCCTGCACATAGCATAAGCAACCTGTCAAACTGAAAGTAATATTAAAAGTATTAAAGTATTTAAAGGCAACTTTAAAATTATTTATTCAATTTAGTTTTACATTTCAATCAAACTGATCCTGAATAGGCTAACCACTAAATTAATAATATTACCTATTACCTTATTTCGAGAATAATTTAATGATCTTGTTGACGCCCTGAATTCTATTTTGTCTCCAACTTGCCAGCTTTTAACGCACTGAGATGTACGTCCCTCTGTATAAATCTGTAACAGTTTAATTAATACTTTATTTGGTATAAAAGTAAAGAATTAAATTACCAAGACCAAAGGGTACACATTTAACCACTACTAAATAAATCATGTGATGCTTTAGTTGTATTTGCTGAAATATACTTGACATTAAATTTATGATTCACAACTCTAAACATTACTAGAGTAATTTAAGGTGGCAAAGACATGAGTATACCTTAATCAATAAATCAAAATAGCCTTTAGTCTTCAGTGGTGAAACTGGTGTGTATTGTCTAGCTACTGTTGACTGATTTTTTAATTTAAATCTGCAAACAGAATATTTAAAATGAAATGTTTATGATCATGGATAGACACAGCAATTCTTTTAAATGATGGACTTTAAAATGTATTGATACCTTGCAGCTAAAAAGATCAGTTGAAATTATATTCATCACTTAATCTTTACATATATACCTACACCACATTACTAAGCTGATCACTACAAATTGAATTTTTTTAGAATTATAGGCCTATATCCTATTAAATGAAAGTAAAGGTTCAATTCAATAACTGAGTTTTAATATTTTCTATGAAAATAAATTACTTAACTATAAGAATTATTAAGATACACAAACTGAAAATGTGTTCCTGATGACTAACCTTATTATAGTGCTGGTAAACTACAAGACAAAGGTAGTTATAACTTTTTCTAGAGTCAAAATGTTTTAAACCAACATTAATTACTTATTTTTAAATTTGTATAGAGTTATTACTTTAAGAAGAAATGTTATTTTTAAAAAATATAAAGCACATATCCATTACAGGGGATATTTAGTTTTCAGAAAGTCAAATGTGTCAAGTTGTCATCCAAGTTCCTTTATTACAAAAATGACATTTTCCCCCACCTTGCAATAACATGTTGACCAATTGATAAACCAATAGCTTTTTGAGCAGGGACAGAAAATCTGAAGCGCAATATATCTGGAGTTTCTTGTGACACTGATACTATAGGAAATTCAGTGTACTTGTCAGGATGTAGAGCAGTAGTCTGTGGAAAAAGCAGGTTTTAATCTTAAATTACCCAAAAAGGGAACCTGTGTTTAACAGTTTAATTAACCTTATTAACAACAGAGCAAGTATTGAACTTACCTTACAATTTATATCTTCTGCTACAATATGGGATTTGTTAGCTATATTTTTGGACAATAATTCACATTCAGCTTTCCAAATTTCTAATTCCTTGTTGTAAATATCAAAGATGCATAGAACACAACCATTTCCACAGCAGTCTGAATCTAGTGGTTTATCAGGAGGCTCCAACACCAGTCTTTCTTCCGACATGTCATGAAGTTTCAATTTTTACAAAACTAAAGCACAGATTTTATTTAGATATTTAACTGTCATAAAATTTTTTATCTCCCTATTTGTGTGTTGTGGTTGGCTGTGGTTTAGAATTTGATAAAGGTAGTCCTAATTGCATGCAAGTCCACCAGGAGAAGCCTTCTTTTGCATGTCTTTTCTCATCATGTGTAGAAGTAGAATTGTTGCAAGAATAATTCAATTCACTGGTAAAATTATTTTTACTTTCAGAAACAGTTTCCATTTCATCGAACTTTCTTTTGCTTGATTCTGAAAATATTTGTAAAAATAATGTTGATCAGTAAATAGTTTGCAGGATATTATGATATGTGTTGTAATACTTATTATCATTAATTATTGTCATTAATCATTAATTAAACTGAAGTCTGAAAAAGTAAAATTGTAATCTAATTGTCAACTTACGAGCTAAGTAAGGTTGCTCTTTAGTATCCCCCATGACAAGTCCTTTTTAAAAAAACAAAGATGGGCTTAGCAGACTACAGAGGGGAAAAAAAATCTGTTAGCAATGTTTATAAAATTAAAAGACTGTAGTCACTGTAGATCTAGTCTACTTGTAGCCTTATTACATCAGTCACAGTGGTTAGGATGATCAGTGCTTTACTTATTACTAAGATTTTGCAAAATTGTTGAAAATAGAATTATAATTAAAATTAAATAGATCTATCAGTTTTAAAATAAAATTTTAAATTAAGATTTGCAGCCTAGGGCAAAAAGTTAAATTAATGTGTTTTCTTTATCATAATTTAAAAAATGATAGATCTAGATTTATTTATTTGTTTCGATATTGAATATCAAATTAGTTTGGCAATACCAAGCTGTAAGTTAGTAAGTTAACTTAGTTATTTAGAATCTTTTCTGAGTTTTAGTCTAGTAATTCTAGTAGATTCTATAAAATTAAAAGTTACTTGTACTGTACAGAATGAGAAAGTTAAAGTAGTAGATCTAGAATCTAGATCTAGAGTAAATCTGAAGATCTAGATCTATATCTTTATACTTAACTAGAATCTAGATCTAGGTTATTACTTTCATTAGTATTAAAAATAGTTAAGAAAGTAGTAAGGAAGTAAGTAAAGTAGCGTCATGATACTGATAGTATTAGTGGTAAACGGAAAAAAAGTCACAGGAAAAAAAAACACAGAAAAAAAGTCACAGTTTTTGCTAGGAAAAAAAGTCACAGTGGAAAAAATTTTTTGGAAAAAAAGTCACAGAAATAAGTCACAGAAAAAAAGTCACAAAAATATTTTTAGAAATATTTTTATTTATTTGTTTAGAATTGTATTTGGGTAATCCCTTAGTTTAGCGTCGGAAATTATCGGGTAATGTTTGTTGAGTTTCGGTAACTAGAGTTACGGTAAACCATGGTTTGTTTCACCATTGAAATATAAATAAATTGAAAGTCGATTGTAGTAAATTAATGTTTTAATTTTTTAAGTTTAATCGACTAAAGGAAACAAGAATAATTATAATAGTAGATTTAAATTAGTAGATCTAAAAATTAAAAAAAAAACATATATTAATATAAATATAAATAATGAAGTCAAATGTAATAATTTAATGTTTTTGGCTTGCAGCGGATTTGCGACCATTAATTAATTAGATCTAGATCTAGCTAGATATCTAGCTGCTAGACCAAGTAAAAAAATCTAGATTACGAAAATAGTAAAAATGATTACAAAATGTAAAAATGATTACAAAAATAAATCTATCCAAAATTTAAACATTCTGTATAAAAATAAAAGATGACGCCAAATAAAGTATGGTTTACAGTACTTCCGGTGAATTCCGGAAGTGTGTGACAGACTTTGGCATTGTTTTACTGTTTTTTACTGCTATACGATTCCGGAATAATAACCGACGCTAAACTAAGGGATTACCTGTATTTGTTTAGAATTTGCATGTTTATTGTTGTAGGTTGTATTTTTTTATAGCATAAATTATTTATAGACGTTAAAAGCATTATGGTTTATAACAATTGTAAGTAAAAACAAACACTCTCAACTTTTGTTATGTATTTAGTTAAAAACGCGGTAGAAAATTTAATTATAAAAGAAATTTTGGAAAATTTTGCCGTAGGCTATTCTCTGCTCGGTCTCTCCTCAGTAGGCATTGTCATGCGTCAATGACAGCCTTTCAACCTTGTCGGCTTTCTGTTTTGATCCTAAGTTTTGTTATGTAATCAGCGTGATAAATGTGGGCAGTAAAGGTGGTTGAACTAAACATCTAAACATAACTATTGTGGCCATGAGTTGAGGGCAGCAAGTCAGATGAACTTACCATATCACGGTAATTTAATGTTGGTATTTAAAAAAAAAAACAGGATTAAAACCGTGGACTTTGGAGCATTCTATTAAACGCTACTAACCTTAAGTTTTACATAATTACAATCTACATACTTCATACTAAATATTTTTAGATGAATTATAAAAATTACTATGCGTACAGCCTACACACATTACATTTAATTAATCCTAAGTTAATTTAATAATTTGCACTCTCTAAATATTTAATACATAAAATTATTAACAAGTAAATTCAAGTATCATAGTATCATGCAAATATAATTAATATATATTTGTGACTTTTTTTCCTGTGACTTTTTTTCCTGTGACTTTTTTTCTGTGTTTTTTTTTCCTGTGACTTTTTTTCCTACAATCAGTATTAGTAAGGCGGTAATCTATCGTTTTAGCGTAATCAATTCGGCCGGTGCTAGTAATGTAGTATGTAGGGATAAAGTAACTAATGAATATAGCTCAAATATGAATATATTTGTGCATATTGTATTAAAATACTAAAGATAATTGAATATTAAATCACAATTTAAGGTTAAATCAATAATATAATAGATTGACGACAGAAGCCTGTTGGTTGTATATAACACGTTTAATTGGGTCTAACTACCACGATGGTAATACACAGAGAGGACGGAAGGAAGTACACAAGGGACATCACTCAAGATAACAATATTATAAATATAACTAATACAGAAGAGTGAGTTCCCTTGACCTCACAATTATTTCAATCTATTACATCCCTTTACCCTTAGAACACAATAACACATCTCTCAATAGAACAATTGATAGTATCCTAAAATCACCAATTATATTGTAACATGAACACTATGGTAGATTACATCCTTACAAACAATGCACAATATGCTACAACATAATCAAAATACAAAACAATGATGTCAAAGTCCTTTTGACCTTTAAAATCATAGGTCTAACTTATTTGGGACTTTGATTGTCCTGTTTGACCTTCTCAGTGGCCTTTGATTTGGTGACTCAATATTCTGACCATTTGGATTCTCTATCTCAGGAGGTCTAGGATTTAAATCATTAACTCCAGAATTTACATTTTCTGACTCCAGACAACTTGGTTCACTCATATCAACAGAACTTGGTTGTGGAACAAACTGAGTTGGTGTGAACTGTTCAGATTTGGTGGGATTGACAGATTCACACTTATTATCTGCACAAGTTATTTTTAACTTTATAAGGCACAGGTCCTGTACATTGAACAATTTGACCTGGTATCCATTTTTCCTTTCTCCCATAATTTCTTAGATACACATTCTCATTAACACCAAATTCTCTTTCAATGAATGTCTTGTCATGATTTAATGGAACTATTTTTGAATTGGCATCTGGAAGTATTATGCTGTTATTCAGATCCTTAATTGACATAGATTTCTTTGATTGATCAATTTTCTCAGGTAATCTGATAGTGCTTTCCTGGTAACCAAAAATACTGTTTAAAGTAATATTCTGGACCATATCACTTTGCAACTGTGATCCAGTATTTGAAGTGGGTGTATTAAATGGCAAAAATCTTTTTTCTTTTCTTTTGATGTTACCCTTTTAGTTTCTGTAAGTGCTAATGATGTTAGCAAAGTTGTTTGATGATCACATTCCTTCTTACTAATGTATTTTCTTTAAAACATTTGAAATTGCCATATCACCATAATCATTTATTAAGTTACAAATACTTTGTTTAGGCAATTCTGACTGATAATGGACTGCATCTTCTCCATCTTTTATATTATCTTCACAAAGGTTTTTATTTCTTATTTAATATGGCCTTAAGTCATCATTCACAGACTCTTCAGGCCAACCATTCTTACAGTACTCATATACTTTTATTAAGCACTCATCTTTTTGTGTTTCTCTTTTAATATCATTCACATTTATATTGGAGTTATCCATGATAGTGAAGAGAACAAATACATCTTCTGGTACATAGCTCAGGCTTTGGTTTTTTAAAGGTAATCTACTAAGACTATCTGCACTATTCTCAGATCCAGGTTTGTATCTCAATTCATAATTGTATGCAGTTAGTGTGATAGCCCATCTTTGAATTCTTGGTGAGGCATGCCCAGGTAGGGTTTTGTTTTCTCCAAATAAACCTAGCAATGGTTTATGATCTGTAAAGATGGTGAACTTCCTACCAAACAGAAACTTATGAAATTTCTTAACACCAAAAATGATGCCTAAGCCTTCCCTATCTAACTGAGAATAATTTTTCTCAGCCTGATTCAAAGATCTACTGGCAAAAGCAATGGGTCTGTCACCCTTCTCATCCATGTGGGACAAGACTGCTCCTACACCATCTGGTGAAGCATCACATGTTAATATAAGTCTTTTCCCTGGGTCATAGTGAGTTAGTAAGGTGTCAGCAGACAAAGCCTCTTTTGCTGTATTAAAAGCAGCTTCTTGTTGTTTACCCCAGTGCCAAGTTGCATTTTTCTGTAGCAGCTTGTACAGTGGTGATAGTTTACCAGACAGATTTCCTATGAACTTTGCATAGTAATTTATCAAGCCCAAAAAAGCTCTTAGTTGTTGGGTATTTTCAGGTTTGGGTGCTTCTTTAATGGCTTTTGTTTTCTCAGGTTGAGGTCTGATACCTTGTTTGCTCAATATATAACCAAGAAAACTAATTTCTGTCAGCATGAATTGACATTTATCTTTGTTTATCTTTAAACCTTTTTCACCAACAATTTTCAATACTTTATCAAGTGTTTTAAGATGTTCAGTGTCATTCTTACCAGTTATGTACACATTGTCAAAGTAAACACAAACATTTGGAATATCCTTAAAAATACTGTCCATGACAGCTTGGAAAATTCCAGGACTAGATGATATGCCAAAACATAGTCTTTCATATTGGTAGAGTCCTTTATGTGTGTTTATTGTCGTATAGACTTTTGAATCTGGATGCAGTTCTAGTTGAGTGTAAGCATGACTAAAGTCTAATTCAGTGAATTTGTCTCCTCCTGCCAAATTCAAAGAAATTTCCTCAATGTTAGGAATAGGGTACCTATTTAGCTCTATTTGCTTATTCAGTGTAGTTTTATAATCTCCACAAATTCTTATAGAACCATCCTTCTTTAACACTGGCACAATGGGTGTCGCCCAATCGGAATAGTCTACCTTCTTTATAATGCCATTAGATTCCAATCTACTTAGCTCATTTTCAATTTTATTCCTCATTGCATAAGGTGGAACTCTAGCTTTGCAGTATCTTGGATTTGTATCTTTAATGCTTAACTTCACTGTTCTATCATTTAGTAATCCAGAGTTACCAAAAACACATTTATTTTCAGATATTACTTTATCTATTGAAGTAAGACTAGATTCTTTTACATTCTTCAATGAACAAATACTCTCCCAATTTAACTTAAGATCACTTAACCAGTTCCTACCTAGTAATGGCGGTCCATTTCCTTCAACCACAAGAAGAGGAAGTTTAACACTTTGACCATTATAACTTACATGAACCATACATTCTCCTATTACCGGAACATTGTCACCAGTGTATGTTGTTAGACACTTGTGACATGGCTGTAGAGGCACTGTTCCTCCTGTGACAGCGTCAAAATCTTTCTTTGTTATGACTGTTAGAGATGCTCCAGTGTCAAGTTGGAAGCTGATGCTCTTACCGTTGATATTAACTGGTACATTGATGGGAGCATGACTTATTGATTTCACAGAGAACAGGCTGAAATCCGGCTGCAAATCAATTTGAGCATTTTCACAGGTAGAGTGGTTCATTGGTTGGGTTAGGTAGTCTTGGTGAGAGTTAACATAGTGCTGCTTTTGGTTGCGGTACTGTCTTGACTGGCTAGATTTAGCAACAGACGAAGACTTTGCAAAGCAGGCCTTGGCAATGTGACCTTGCTTACTGCACTTATAACAAGTTGCAGACTTGAACTTGCACCGATGAGATGCATGGGGACCTTTGCATCGATGACATTTTTGATAATTATTACTAGATTTAGATCTAGGATTTGAACGAGCAGGGTGTTTAGCATAAGTTGGAATGCTCTGTTGGGGTTGATGTTTATTGACTAACCTGCTGTTTACTGCATGGATCTCTGAAGGTGCTAAAGATCTCGCCGCATCTGATGACTGCTGGAATGACATTGCAAGTTGTATTGCTTTTTCCAATTTTAGATCTGACTCGAGCAGCAACTTTCTTTGAATATCAGGTCTGTTTACACCTGTCACAAACTTTTCACATAGTCTGTCAGACAGCGTTTCTCCGAATTCACAAAATTCACTTAAATGACGTAAAGCAGCAACATATTCTGATATTGACTCGTTTGGTTGACGAGTCCTACTGTCAAATCTAGCTCGACATAGAAACTTTGATGGCGTAGGCGCATGGTGGTCTGTTAGCAATTTGCTCAGCTCGTTAAAGCTCTTGGTAGTTAGACTGGCTGGTGCGCATAAGTCTTTTAGTAGCCTAAATTGTTGAGGCCCTATGACTGTTAACAAAACAGCTCTCTTTTTGGCTTCTATCGTCACGTCGTTAGCTTCTAGGTAAAAGCTTAACCTCTCTAGGTAATCTTGAATGATTTCATCATTCGCATCAAATTGTTTTATTTGGCCATACAGCGCCATAATTCTAGAAATAATTAGCTAATAAGCTCTAGCAAACCTCTTTTTTGCGTAAGTAGGTGCTCTTTCTAGTAGATGTTTATCCTTCGTCGCCAGTTATAATAGATTGACGACAGAAGCCTGTTGGTTGTATATAACACGTTTAATTGGGTCTAACTACCACGATGGTAATACACAGAGAGGACGGAAGGAAGTACACAAGGGACATCACTCAAGATAACAATATTATAAATATAACTAATACAGAAGAGTGAGTTCCCTTGACCTCACAATTATTTCAATCTATTACAAATAAAAATATATATATCTCATCATAGTTCATACTCATACTCATCATCAACATATATAGACTCTAGGACACGGGTTCCCAACCTGGGGGTCGCGACCCCCCTGGGGGTCGCGAAGGGCTTTCTGGGGGGTCGCCAACTGGTATACTAAACCTTAGTAATTTGAAACAAAACATAAATATTTAGAAGAATTTTTGAAATTCGGCTTTACTAACATCACTGGAACAGTGTTTCTTCCAGACTTTTTTCTCCGGGGGGGCACTTGAAATCTTCGGGGGGGCGGTAAACTTTCTTCGGGGGGGCGGACACTGTTAAAAGTATATATTTTCTATATAAATTATATAAATTTCATTTCGTTCGGGGGGGCGGTAAAAATTTTTCGGGGGGGGGCTTCGCCCCCCCGAAGAGTTGCCTGGAAGAAACTCTGCACTGGAAAGGGAATAGAGAAGAAGCAAAGCGTACTGTACAAAGTTGTTCTCAGTCACGAGTCTATGAAATCGTCAAAGCTAAAACGTCATTTGACACGAGTCATTCGAAACACACCAAAAAAGATATGGAGTTCTTTCGTCGGTATGAAGCTAGTTGCAAACGTCAGAGACGTGATCGAACAGGAAGTTTTCACCAAGGAAACTCAGCATTAGTGCAAGCATCACATGAAGTCGCGACAGAAAATGCCAAGCAAAAAAAAACACAATAGGAGAAAATCTCATCAAACGCTGCATGTTGAAGATGGTGAAGTTAATTCTTACATGTCTGTAGATGTTAAATAACACATTTTTATTGAAATTAAGCTTTCACCATTGTTTGCTTTTCAAGTTGATAAATCAACAGACGCGTGTTCGTGTTCGCAGTTGCTGGTCTTTGTCTATATTTATTCAGATGATTGCAAAGAAGAATTGCTCTTTTGTGAAGATAGCATGGAAAAAATAAATACGTTTTTTTTTTTAAAGTTGGATGATTACAATGGGTTAAAACGGCTGCGAGGGTTTGTACGGATGGTCCACCATCTATGTTTAGGTCAAAATCGGGCTTTCAGAAAGCAGAAAAGCTCCCTAACCCACTGCCCTCACCAATCGCCATCAAGACTCCATTGCTAGTATAAGTCGTAAATTATATAAAATCTGGAGCCTTCAAAGAACTTATCAAAGACCTGAATAAAGATCACGAGGTTCTGCTCTTCTACACTACAGTGCGCTGGCTGTCAAACGAATTGTTGTGAGTCGTGTTTTTGAATTGAAATCTGAAATCAAATTGTTCTTGGAAATGTATAGGAAACAAGACCTTTTGGTATACTTAAAACGACACAGAGTGGTTGGAGAGAGTATCATACCTAGCAGATGTGTTCGAACATCAACATAAGCTTAACCTGAAGCTTCAGGGAAAATGAACGAATATTATCACTTTCAATGATAATCTCGGGGCATTTTTATCAAAGCTGCAAAATCGGCGAAGAAAATAAATCTTGGAAATATTGTAAATTTGAGAAACTCTGCAGTGTGGTAGATGAATCTAATTGTGAGATAATTAAAATTTTGAAAGAAGAAATTTCTGGGCATCTTGAATCTATTGAAAACGAACTGCAGCGCTATTTCTCTGAGCTGAAAAAAAAAGAATCTGCATTGACGCATTACCCATTCTCTTCTTCACTTGATGTTGCCAGCATTCCCGATGAATTACAAGATGAATTCTTTGATTTGTAGAATGATTCCGCGTAAGATGAAAAACTTCAGACACAATTTTGGTGTAGTATTAACCATTTATATCCAAACGTAAAATTGATTGACTTTTCGAGAATATAATTTTATTTTGAACACTATTTTTCGATTAAAAACAAAATTAAGATAATGATAATGACATAGGTTGGCGTTAACAAAAAAAAAATACTTTAAAAAACAAATTAACCTCGAATGTTTAGTGAATAGTATGCAATTTTACTCATGGTATTAAAACAGTTATCAAGAGTAGTTCATATTGAAAGTCTACTAGAAAATCTTATTTTAGTGCTTATTAATTTCCATACTAATTTCGGCTTTTTAATTCTATGGGGGTCGCGGGTCACTTAATTTTTATAAAAGGGGGTCGCCACTCGAAAAAGGTTGGGAACCACTGCTCTAGGACATAGGACTCCTAGACAGATCTAGATCTATATAATATCAGCATTAAAAAACCACCTACGTTTCTTTGGTGAACTTTTCATTAAGTAGCGTTACAGCTGCTAATATCTTGTGACTGATAGTGGGGAGGGGTGAAAAATATTTGACATCACTATCACACGTTGGCATTAAAACGGAATTTTAGTAGTTATTCCGCCTTTTAACGAGATTATTAAAGTAAATTGTTTTAAAAAATTAGCAATCTACATAAATAAATAAATGGCTGTTTTAACACCCCCCACAGACCACGTTATGTATGCCCCCCCCCCCCCTTGGAGATTTAATAGCTCCTAAGAATCGGACACCTCATAATACAGTTTAATTGATTTATTATTAACTTTTCCCCTCACTACTTGATCTACTTTTGTTTTTCGATACCGTTGAGAATGGGGCCAAGATAATACTGGGTCCTTATTTGGGAAGTTTTTAACTAGCCTAGGGGTCGGCAACCTGCGGCTCGCGAGCCGCATGCGGCTCTTTTGATGTCAAGATGCGGCTCTTCAGCTCGATGCACAAATATAAATAATTATTTTATTTTATTTTTAAAGCTCATAAAAGTATTAGTCTGCAACACTCAGTAATGAACGATATCATAATATATATAAACAGTAAACACTCGCTATTCTATTAGAATATTTATTGGCTCGATATTTCAATGTAGACCTACTTGGTTGTTTCCTAAAACTGAGTTTTTTAAATATAAAGAATGCCTGTGTTTGTATCATATTTATCGGGGCAAAAGTGCTCGCAAGATAGCCCTTGGCGCCAAATCGCACCGTGACGTGACGCTGGAGGACGCGCCTAATTCAATTCAGTGAGCGAATATAGCAACCCATTGTATCCATAGCCTATCGCGCTGTTTAAAATGAACGTATTGTTGCCCATCGTGTCTATAGTGTACAGCCTTTAAAAAAAACAATGTAGGCGCTATAGTGCTCGCAGGGTCGCCAAACGGACGAGGCGCCGGCGGTTGCGTCTGTTGCAGTTTTGCCGCTGAATATAGTATTACCCCTTACCCGCTATGCTGAACGCCCAATTAACGGATGCCAAGTACTAACATAGCCGCTCTGGAACTCTCGAGCTCCAAAACGTGTATTGACAAAAAAATGCACCACCCGGGCGCCGCCCATAAGAAAAAATTTCTTTCGCAGCAGTCTTCTCAGGAGTATTTTCATCTACTCTCCAAAGTTTCATGGCACTCGGATAAACTGTGTCGAACCGCATACAACTTTTTGTTTACCGTATATAGAGAAAAATCGCACCTCTACCCCCCTGGGGCGCCGCCCTTGCGAAATTAAAAAAAAATTGTTTGCACAAACCTCCCTAGGAGTATTCTCAAGAATTTTCCCAAATTTCATGGCGATCGGGTGAAAGGTGTAGTAATGCATAAAAGAAAAACAGACACACACACAAACACACATACATTGTTTTATGTATATATAAATATATAAATATATATATATATATATATATATATATATATATATATATATATATATATATATATATATATATATATATATATATATATATATATATATACACACACACATATATATATATATATATATATATATATATATATATATATATATATATATATATATATATATATATATATATATATATATGTATATACCAAATCCTAATTAAAAATCATAATATTAATAATAGTAGTATAAAAATGTTGGCGGCTCTTTTGTAAATTGTAACTTTTGGCTCTTCTGTCTCAAAAGGTACTTCATTTAATGATTAATTACAGTTGAATAATATTTTATGTACAAATAGACAACCCTGGCCGGGGGAGTGGAGGTGAAGGTGACACTACAACGTAAACTTGCTGTTGGGAAAAATAATGTTAGATCTAGCAGTATTGATTACCGACAATAGATAAACAAACATGGTTTTCTGTTAAGTGTGCACAAATTAAAGCTATCACGGGGGTGGGGGGGGGGGGGGTCGTCTCCATCTTTCATATTTACCGGGGGAAACACATTTTGTGAATATTTTAACAACTGTTATGTCAGTCAACGACCAGCGTGGGGGTGTGTGAAATCATGAGGTGCCGCATCGAGTGACACCCGACCCGGCTGACTAAATTTTCCGGGGGGGGGGGGGGTGGCGGAGAAATAGTAAAAGTAGGCATATATAATACTATCTTTTCTAAATACATTCTATTTCGTTAGTGTGGCGGTGTTTCCACCCCCCCCCCCCCCCCGAACAGACGCCCGAAATATAAAACTCGGTCTAGATGTAGAACGCACGATTGCCAGCTCTAACTACGAGATTACGAGTGTTTAGGTCGCCCCCGCCCTCCCAGGCCGGACTGCCCCCCCCCCCCCATCCCCCACCCCACGTCCAAATAAGGTAGTGCGATGCATCGGTAGGCCTAGAGGAACCAAATGCCTGCCGGAAACCCACGTGTCTTGCGGCTGACAGCAACATGGGTGTGAGAAACGATCGATTCATTATCCCGTCTGCCTGGCTAATGAGCCGGCCTATCGCTTGAGCCAGTAGTGAATAGGCTAGGCTGCGATTTTGTGTGTGTGTTCTTTTTTTAGCAACGATGCAAAGTTAACAAAGTCATGTCATGCTAACCCGGTCGGACAACATCAATACATAAGTTAAAGTAGACTTGGCTTAATGTTGAGTATAGAAAAATCGTTTCAACAAATAATAACGATGTTCGCCAGTGACGTGATTTATGTTAAACTACTTTGTTAACCTAGCAGATCTAGTCAAAATATGTATGCACAGAAGAATGCAGATATATTCTATACAAAAGAAGTAAATGCTACACAGATAAAGGCGTTCGGGCAGAGTAAAATGCTGCAATGTAAAAACTTTCCATTAATCCATTAGCATGTTTATCGGTGCCGCTTCTCCTAATATAAACATTGTACTGGAAATTTTAACAATGCAACTCGGGAGAGGGTGTGTTACCCCCAGGGGCGTAGCGAGGGGGGGCGGGGGTGCGGACCGCACCGGGTGACACCATTTAGGGGGGGGTGACACCAAGGCAAAAAATGGCAAAATATATAGAGAAAAACTCGAGGGGGGGGGGTGCAAATCGAAAGTTTGAGGGGGGGGGGGTGGTGCAAATCGAAAACTTGAGGGGGGGTGCAAATCGAAAGTTTGAGGGGGGGGGGGGTGCAAATCGAAAATTTGAAAGTTCGTCCCTGGGAAGGGTCTCTATGCCTCTGGGGGGTGACACCATTAAGTGCCGCACTGGGTGACACCCGACCTCGCTACGCCACTGGTTACCCCCCCCCCTTCCTTTTGAGCTGTGAGACTAAATTATACACAGTTGAAGTTAAGAAAATAGACCTTTCTCTGTTTTATGGGCTTATTTAACTTTTTCTATGTCTATTGTGTACAAATTGTGTGACACCAAGATACAAACCGTTATGGGACAGCGACTGGGGGGGGGGGGGGTTATGCCAATGCCAGTGTGAATAACTATAAAATGAGGGGGGGGGTGCTTAGTTGTTAGCTCGCCCTGGGCACCGGAATGGATCGCTACACACATTAATATCCTGATGGTGCCTAGGATTCCTAAAGTTGTTTTTATTTTATTTTTTTAGACTGTAAGGAACTGGTATAGACGTTCCAACACCAAGGTCTGAGATTGATCTACGAGTTAAAAAAAAACAATCACACGGCCACAACAATAGAGCAAGTAAAGATTTATGGTCTAAACGTCAAGGCTGTTGTGAGCTGGCCTATCGTCTTTCAAATAAATGTATCAGGCGAATTACCC